TATAGTTATAAAGGGACATAACTGAAGAACGGTAAAAGTGACGCTACCCAAATTTGAACTTGATCTGGGTTTTGTGGTAATAAGCATTGTGTGTAAGTCTCATAACATTTGGTTGAGGCTAACTTAAGTAGAGAACAGAAACGAAAAATTCAGCAATTTTTCTATTTGTAAACACGCATAACTCTAGAACGGTTGTGTGTAAGTTTTATAACATTTGGTTGAGACAAACTAAAGTTAGAGAACGGAAACGAAAAATTCAGCAATTTTTATGTTTATAAAGGGACATAACTCAAGAATGGTAAAAGTGTCGCCACCAAATTTCGTACTTAATCTGTATTATGTAGTAATAAGCATTGTGTATAAGTTTCATAACATTTGGTTTAGGCAAACTAAAGTTAGAAAACGGAAACAAAAAATTTGTACTTTATCTTAGTTTTGTGGTAATGAATATTGTGTATAGGTTTCATAATGTTTGGTTGGGGCAAACTTAAGTTACAGAATGGAAACTAAAAATTTTCCAATCTTTCGATTTATAAAGGGGCATAACTCAATAATGGTTAAAGTGACACTACCCAAATTCAACTTGATCTGTGTTTTATCAGTGGAAGTCAAAATTAAACATTGCATTGTATAAAGCATTGATTGTAGTTGATTCAACTATAATCATGGACAAAGGAAGATAACTCCAATTTTAATAAAATGCTCCGCTGGGGCGCAGCTTGATACGACCGCAGAGGTCGAACCCTGAACAGTTGGGGCAAGTATGGACACAACATTCAAGCTTGATACAGCACTGAATTTGGATTGTAATTAAATATTTGACACAGCATAGGTTTCTGACACAGAATGAAAGTGGTCTAAGAACTTAAAAATTTTTAATTTACCTATTCAAACCATATCATTATTATTTGCTTTTATATATACATCAGAAATAACCAATTTAAAATGGAAAATTTTAAAGAAAAAAAAGGAAAAAAAAAAAACCCTTATGATTCATCACCCCCAAACTCAATCCCAGCCTTCCCTTTGTGGTATGGTACCTTGCAGTACAATTTCAGAGAGATCCATACACTTGAACACAAGTTATTGTCTGGAAACTAGAAAAATGCTTGTTTTTTTGCCCCTTTTTGGCCCCTTATTCCTAAAATTTAGAGGCAATTACCCCCAAAATCAATCCCAGCATTCCCTTTGTGTTATGGAACCTTGTGGTACAATGTCAGAGAGATCCATACACTTACACACAAGTTATTGTCATGGAACTAGAAAAATGCTTGTTTTTTGCCCCTTTTTGGCCCCTAATTCCTAAAATTTGGAGGCAATTACCCCCAAAATCAATCCCAGCATTCCCTTTGTGATATGGAACCTTGTGGTACAATGTCAGAGAGATCCATACACTTACACACAAGTTATGTCTGGAAGTTACAAAAATGCTTATTTTTGGCCCCTTTTTGGCCCCTAATTCCTTAACTGTTGGTACCATAACCCCCAAAATCAATCCCCACCTTCCTTTTGTGGTATTGAACCTTATGGTAAAATTTCATTGAGATCCATTCACTTAAACTAAAGTTAGAGTGCGAAAACTAATGTGTCTTCGGACGAAGACGACGACGACGACGACGCCGGACGACGACGACGACGACGACGACGCCGCCAACGTCATACCAATATACGACCACAAAAATTTTTTTGCGGTCGTATAAAAATTACTTGATATTTAGAAGAAAATAAAAATTTTGCAATTTTTCCATATATAAAGGGGCATAACTCTAGAACAGTTAAAGTGACGCCACCAAAATTCAATCTTGATCTGTGTTTTGTGGTAATAAGCATTGTGTATAAGTTTCATAACATTTGGTTGAGGCAAACTTAAGTTAGAGAACGGAAACTAAAAATTTTGCAATTTTTCCATTTATAAAGGGGCATAACTCTAGAACGGTTAAAGTGACGCCACCAAAATTCAAACTTGATCTGTATTTTGTGGTAATAAGCATTGTGTATAAGGTTCATAATATTTAGTTGAGGCAAACTCAAGTTAGAGAACGGAAACCAATTTTGGGACGTACGGACGGACGGACGTACGTACAGACGGACAAGGGTAAAACTTAATGCCCCCACCGCTACGGCGGGGCATAAAAACTTTACATTGAGCAATGAACCGTGAAAATGAGGTCAAGGTCAAATTAAACCTGCCAGACTGATATGTACGTCGTAAAATATTTCCATTCATCAAATATAGTTGACCTATTGCATACAGTACTAGTATGAGAAAAAAAGACCAAAACACAAAAACTTAACTTTTACCACTGAACCATGAAAATGAGGTCAAGGTCAGATAACACCTGCTAGTTGGACATGTACACCTTACAATCATTACATACACCAAATATAGTATACCTATTGCTTATAGTATCTGAGATATGGACTTGACCACGAAAACTTAACCTTGTTCACTGATCCATGAAATGAGGTCGAGGTCAAGTGAAAACTGTCTGACAGGCATGAGGGCCTTGCAAGGTACGCACATACCAAATATAGTTACCGGTATTCTATTACTGATAATAAGAGAGAAATTAACATTACAAAAATCTTAACTTTTTTTTTCAAGTAGTCACTGAACCATGAAAATGAGGACAAGGACAATGGACATATAACAGACGGAAACTTCATATCATAAGGCATCTATATACAAACCATGAAGCATCGAGGTCTTCTACCTTATGAAATATTAAGCTTTTAAGAAGTTAGTTAACGCCGCCGCCGCCGGATCACTATCCCTATGTCGAGCTTTCTGCGACAAAAGTCGCAGGCTCGACAACTACATGTAGTATTATCCATTAACGTCACTTTCAGGGGTTCTCCTTTCGTTTTGCTCTATCTTAAAAAAAATTTCTCTTTCACTGAATAATTCAACGTTCAGTAAATATAATGTTTTTTTCTGCATTATAAACCCCAGTTTATAACTTTATACAATAGCAAAGACCTTATGAATCCTTTCAGGATTTTCCAGAAAGAAGGTTGCTGTGTACAAGGCATCGTGGACGTTTCATCATTTGGTTGATAGTTAGGACATTTATGTGTAATAGACGACCTTAAAATATGTATTAAATTCGTAGCCGAAATCTTATTAATCTTTGCTGACCCGCGCCACCATGGGTTGATTTGTCACGAGAAACACACATGACTGTTAGAGAAGCATGAACTCTTTACCTTACACACACGACTGTTAGAGAAGCATGAACTCTTTACCTTACACACACGACTGTTAGAGAAGCATGAACTCTTTACCTTACACACACGACTGTTAGAGAAGCTTGATCTCTTTACCTTACAGAAACACACATGACTGTTAGAGAAGCATGAACTCTTTACCTTACAGAAACACACACGACTGTCAGAGAAGCATGAACTCTTTATATTACCTTACAGAAACACACACGACTATTAGAGAAGCATGAACTCTTTACCTAACAAAGCATCTGAGTTCACAGTTTTCAATATTTTCGGGAATCGTCAATGAGCTTTTGAGGAATAGCTCACTTTTGCAATCTTGTAGGGAATCATCACTGAGCGTTTGAGGAATAGCTCACTTTCGCAATGTTGTGGGGAATCATCACTGAGCGTTTGAGGAATAGCTCACTTTCGTAATCTTGTAGGGAATCATCACTGAGTGTTTGAGGAATAGCTCACTTTCGCAATGTTGTAGGGAATCATCGCTGTGGATGGATAACCCACTTTCGCAATGTTAAAGGAAATCGTCACTTTTGATAGATACTACACTTTCGCAATGTTTCAATCCGAACTTGCAATAATATATGGTAATTGTTGTGTACGAAAGTCATGACTGTTGTCATTTACATGTACATTTTTTATATTATAAACAATTAGACTACTATAACAGTAAACAATTATGATAAGTTGTAAACTATAAATTACTAGTAAGATTGAATATCTTGAACTTCAAAGCAACATTAGTTTATATCGTATTGTATGCATTAAACATCTTAAGAAATGGCATAAACACATTAACTTACAATGTATCTCAAACTAAACAGACCGGAACGTCAATTTTCGTGTTTACAACGATATATATGAAAACATCTATTTTATGTCCCATACACATGTAATACATACATACTAAATACATAATACTGACCGTTGTGCGCTTCTGTATTCGTCCTTTACCCCTTTCATTCTTTCGAAACCGATCTTTTCTCCCTCGTTAATAATCGATTTACTTTCTTCTTGAGATAACACATTATATAAAAGAAACCCCTCATCACCGAAATCTGCGATGTCTTCTTTCCGAATTTTTGACTTTGATGTATTTGGTGTAAAAGAAATTGTCTTTACATCATCGATATCGCAGGCTAATTCTCCTCCTTTATTGGTATTTTCTTCCAAACCGGGTATATATTCCATTGTTATTACAGGAACATATATATTGACTATAGATATTAGATATACTGTTCCCAGGTTATTGTAAACAGAATGTTGAATGGGATTGCGCAATATTTGTTTACTTCCGAGTACATACTAATTTTAAACCATATACGGGGGGAAAAGACTCTATATTCCGGAATTTTCTGCTATGAGAAAACATCTTTCCTCATTTTCTTGCAACCTTTATTGATTTGCACACACTTCATTCATATTTGTTTGCATGCTCGCGCTTGGTTTCATTTTTACTTTTGTTGGTGTCACATTTGTCACATTTGCTCTAATATATGTGAAGTCAGGGACTTTCTATGAATGAAGTGTGTGCAAATCAAAATTGTATAAACTAAGGTTGTCTGACTTAGTCTCTCGAATAGTAAGTCGATGAATATTTGGATGTAGTGTCATATGAAGTTGATGTTTTGGTGGCCTATTTGGAATTGACCTTTCTTTGACACACATTGAGTCAGAAATCAGGCGGAATTTTGTGATGACTGGCCTTGAATGATAAGGGGAAGGTTGTAGATCTGCAAGTATTTTTCCTACCCCAGTACACTTCTACTTGATAAGTTATCATCTGGGTTATCAGTTAGATAACTAGTAACATTTTTCCCTGCCAAGATGAAGTATTGCGTTTTGCTTTTGTTAATTCCGTTTTGTTTTGGAGCTGACCCTTCATGCTGTATGCCAAGACAGGCAACATACAGTAAATTTACTGTGACAAGTCAGTTTGATCAAAATCACAATGGATTTCATTCTTTTGAGGTAAGCTATAATAGTCATGTTTTAAAAAAAGTTGTCTTCGATTTGACAGAAACTCGGACTTTACTTCTAGAGTAATCGGTGCTTTCAGCTTTATTTCATGGTGGTCTAACATGAAACAAAGATTTTTAATCAAGAATTTTCTGTGCGAGATGCAAAGTAATTATTGGACGTTTCTCTTATGCATGAATGAGAGCAACACGAGATAAATCCCATACAGATAACTTATAAAAATAAGGAGATGGAGTACGAGTGCCAATGAGAAAACTAGAACGTGTAGACCCATTGCAATTTGGTGGTCTTGGGCTGTTTGCTGCTCTTTGGTCGGGTTGTTGTCTCTTTGACACATTCATCGTTTCCATTCTCAATTCTATCCCCCAAATGATGAACATAAAAGCAATGATAGGTCCCCGTATGGCCTTGAACAATAAGGAAAATTCATACCGTATAGTCAACTATAAAAGGTTCCGTCATGAAAAATGTGAAACAATTCAAACGAGAAAACTAATTGCCTTGGCCCTAATTTATGACAATACAATTTACGAAAAACAAATATGACAGTATTTCGATCAATACACATTCAAAGGATTTAGTGTAAAGACGTCACAAAAAGACTGGAAAAACGCATGACCTTGTGCTTTACCAAAATATAAGAAAACAGTATAGAAATGATGTAGGATTATAAGTGCTGATAACTGTACATATATAGCACTACATATTTAGTTATGTTTTAACTTATCACAAAAATTAAAATCAATGTAAGTACCGATAAAAACAATATTTAAAGATTTTACTACTGTGTTCAATTGATAACCTTGAAGAATAAAGGACCAATGAGTAAACATGGATCGTACCAAAATTTATGGGCTCTATAAACAACATCCCCGTAAAAATTAAGATGTGAAATCCCGTTTTTTATAAGCATTCCAAATTTCCTAACCATATCTTTGTATCTATGAAAGAATTACGTAAGAGTTGTAATAAATTTGTGGTAACGAAATCCCTGACTAAATAATTTACCCAGTTATACATAAATTACGTTCACTGAAACCTAAACGTGACTATATAGACGTGAGCATAGCGGAAAAGTTGTGTTGTATATACAACGTTAGCCGAACCTAATGAATATCACCGTCCGAAACTATAAAAGAAAAATGGGAAAATTAACTACAGGGAACCGTAAATCGTCTCTTTTGTGGTATATTCGTGTGTCTAATTCCCGGTGTAAACTGAATATTATCAAAAATAGAAAAAAGGACAATGATTGCTGTCTGTATAAGATTTATATAAAGTGAGTTTCCTTCGGTAGATTTTCGCAGTCAAATAAATAATAACTTGATTTTTTAAAGCAAAAATATCATCAAGGCAACGTTTAGTGTTTTGAATTTTTCAATCGAATATAGTTTCGACAGATCTTCACTCAAGTGATATATTGGCTCTCAATAATGACGACTTCAGTATGTACACTAAAGAGATTTATCCTGCTGAACTGACTTTGAATAAAGCTACTTCTAACAATGAACACCACCCTTTCCTGGATCTTGATATCTATATCTTTAACTGGAAGCTTAATACCAGAATTTACGATAAAAGAGATGATTTTTCATTTCCTATTGTTAATTATCCCGACACCATCTTATATGGTGTTCATATATCTCAACTTGTTCGATTCGCTCGTGTATGTAACAACGTATTTGATTTTAACGAAAGAAATCTCTGTATTACTGAAAAATTATTACACCAGGGTTTTCGATATCACAAACTTGTCAAAACATTTAATAAATTTTATCATCATTATATCATCTGTACAAAGACATCATTCGTAAATATAAATCAGCGTGCAGACATCTTATACGTTCAGGTATTTCTATACAAAGCACAAAAATGTCGTCATTAACCTCAAAAGCTAACCAAACCTTTCAACAGACTTATTCAGAAGGGATATAGTTACGATACTGTTGTCAGGTCATTGAAGATGGCATTTTTTGGAATAAATATTGATTCACTCGTAGGGTCTTTGCATCGGAAATAAACACATCTATTTTAAAACCAGTTGTTGGCATGATACGGGTTATGTTGTTTTCGTATATTTTATATGATGGTATGATACTAAACCCCTATTGGGAGGGATTGTGCTTGATTTTCATATGATGAAGACATAATCTTTCAATCAGTTTAATTGAGGTCTGGAGCTGGCATGTCAGTAACTGCTAGTAGTCCTTTGTTAATTTATGTTGATCATTGTCATTTTGTTTAGTTTCTTCTGTTACCTATTCTAACATCGGACTCGGACTTCTTTTAAACTGAGTTTTACTGTGCGTGTTGTTGTGTGTTTGTTTATTCTACATTGGCTATAGGTATAGGGGGAGGGTTGAGATCTCACAAAACATGTTCAACCCTGCCGCATTTTACGCCTGTCCCAAGTCAGGAACCTCTGGCCTTTGTTAGTCTTGTATGTTTTTTTAAATCTTGGTTCATTTATATGTTTCGGAGTTTAGTGTAACGTCCATTTTCTCTGAACCAGTATACATTTTTGTTTAGGGGCAAGCTAAAGCCCGCCTCCGGGTGCGAGATTTTCTCGCTGTGTTGAAGACCCATTGGTGGCCTTGGGCTGTTTTCTGCTCTTTGGTCGAGTTGTTGTCTCTTTGACACATTCCCAGTTTCCATTCTCAATTTTATCATACGGAATCTTTTACTATTATTTAAGTATAACATATGTATTCTTTCTTTTTATCAGCAATATTACTGATATACAGTTACCAATCTTAGTCCATTCATCATTCTATCCATCATCACTTTTTTAATTATTTAGAATTATTTCTGGAATTATGTCACTGTTTAAGCTTTGCACGTTTTTGATGGTTGTGTCATTAGCCTAATTCATTTGATATAGTTACATATTGAGGTTGTATAATTACTTTTAAAGTTCTTTGTATATTGACGAGGAGACTCAATCATTACAATATTACACAGTGACTACATAAAGCTGTCATACTGTGAATTTAAGTAATGATTTGAAGACTTTTAGAAAATGGCCCTGGTGTGAAATAAATTCAGGGGAATTGGCCATACCTCTTTCGTATAGCTTTTTAATCCTGTAATAAAAAAATAAGGAAAAGCAGGTGTCCAGTGCGTCTAATGTATTTAATTTTGCTTTTATTTTACATTCAGAAAAAAGGCAAGGTCTACATGGATTTCGACAACAAAAGACGAATTGATATTGTCACAAAAACAGAAAATGGACAGAGCCATAGCATAGTAGCATACACAGACTATAACATTGTGAGTGAGTTTCGGCACATACATAGTGATATCTTAAATATGATTTTGCGTTTATACTGTCCACTTATGATTAATATTTTCTCCATGATAAACAAAACCCCAAGGGTGACTGGAATATACAAATATGGTCACCATGTTCTTCTTCAGGCATGCAGAAAAAACCTTGGTAAAGTCCGTTTGACTGTGCGGGATGTAAACATTCGACTGATTAGGTTAAATCCGACACCTCGTGTAGAGATAGTGCCATTCTCCCTGCACGTTGAAGACCCATTACACCAACTCTTTGATATGTTCGTATGTAGCTTGTTGTAAAGCATAGTTCAGTATGTCCCTATCCTACATACCGGTAACCGGTCTTCATCTATGTCGTCCCACCTTGAAAAAATTACCTTGCATAAATTGTTTATAGTTTCTCGTCCTGAAAATGCACAAAATAATTACTATTGGACGTTAACCCAATTATGCAATATAAATTGTACCTTTATTTTAAAAAAATACGAAATATATTTAAATCCTGCATCGTAATATTCAACCTTTAAATTTTAGTTATAAAAACGCTCTTGTTGTCATTCATTGAATTATGGTTCACGAAAATCAATATTACATGAACAAGGACTACAAAGAGGATACCAAATTGAATTTGACGCAAACGACAAGTTTATCCTTACCGTTAGCTCACAATACAAGCATGATACATAGAACGTCACTTTTTGTTTTGGCCCCTTGAATTTAAAAATCCAAAATACCGATGTGCCAGTCGAATGACATCCTTCATATGTTCACAGAACATTAGATTGTTAGATATCAGTATTTATATTTTTGGATCATTTTGCCTTAAATATTTTCATTCGGGCTTCAAACTTGTGCTTATAAAGGAAAAGTGCAAAAACTTCCAAACTAGTCCCTTCATTTTTATAGCGTGTCATCAAAATTCTAATATGAACCCAGGCCTTACTCAAAAAGATAGTTTGCTATAAGTGAAATCTCATACGATAATTTTATATGTAAACAAATATGTCAATTTCAATATGTTTATGGCTTCACAGTGACATCAAAACTAATATTTCTATTCTAAAAGATCCAGATTATATCTAATTTATCATTAAAACTTACATAAATTTTAAAGGATCGAAGAATTTTATAATAAGTGCAATTTCAGGGGTCAAATAATGGCTCTTACTTTGTATAGTATACGAATAAACCATGATTTAACTTTCATAGAAAATTGGCCGACTGAAGGATAAACGCCAATATCCAACGCTTACTTGTAATAGATAGGATGTGGTGAAGTTAAATATCCAAGGGATACAGGTATACCTCGCTTTAAACTTAAGATGTGAGACTTACGCTTATCAGACAACAAACCAGCAACACGGGTTAACAAAACTACAAATCTTGAGTTATAATACTGTTACGCCGGATTAGTGCACATATCGTACGTACATAGCAAGCTTCAAATCGCCAATGGTAGGCATAAGTTGTGAAAGTAATGTAACATCTTATGTTACGGTCCAAAACATGTGATGTTTATTTCTAAATATTTATATCACCTTTTATTTTGTTCCCTTGATGTCCACAGGGTAAGACGTACGAGGTTGTGGATGGACATTGCACTATAAAAGATGCCTTATTGGTAAATGGATCAATGCCAGCTAACTGCTTCCCAGGTAATGACGGTAATACATAAAAGGAGATGTGAAGTATACGCCAATGAGAGAACAACAATGACACAAATTATTAAAAAAAACATCTAGAGGTCAACTTTATATGTGCCAAAAATTTATACACAACATCTTTTCTTTTCCTTGATGAAGATTTAAACAATAGACCGGTGATAAACATTGCCAATATATCAAAGCGACCTGAGGGTAAAAAAAGCTGTGAATGTTTTTTTTTTCAAATGCTATAAAAGACCTGGCACTCACACAAAATTCTCCATTGAAATAACAAAAACATTCAGACATGAGACAGCCACATTGACAATCATTTTGATCAAGCCGTTTCCTCATTAAATGGTTCAACTCAATTAATTACTGGTAAAATCTTAAAATAAAGCATTCATTTTAAGTTCTTTTGTACACAACACTCAATTTTCGTATTGGGCACTTAAGAAAGATAACTTTACTCTTATAAAAACAAAATCAAAGATCAGCAAGAGTATTATCTGAGTCCCTCTCTTCCTGCGATAGTTTAAAAACACATAGTTTCCCATCTGTACACAAGTATCGAAAAGTCGATTGGTAGAAGAAGAAACTTTAATTCACACAAAAGGAAGGCCAACGTAGATACAAACCTTTTCTTACGAAAGGTCAAATCATACCTATATATTATAAATATAGACTTTGTGTGGTTGGATTCGTGTTGCTCTGTCTTTAGTTTTTTTATAGTGTTTTGTAGACTGTTGTTTGTCTTTTCGTCGGTTTTCGGTGTGTTTATTTTTTTTGCCATGATTTTGTTTGCTTCTCTTCGATTTATGAATTGTAATTGTCCCTTTTGTATCTCCCGCCTGTCTGTGTGAAACACCACTCTGATTCATACAAAAAAAGTATCTGAAACTGACATCAAGATGCTTGATTTTTTATTTAACAACATATTCGTAATGTTTGGTGGACAATTTTAATCAGCAGACAATCTGTGTTCCTATGGGAACCACCTTGTGTCCATCTTCTTGTCGACATGCTCCTTTATTCGTATGATACATATGCATGTTTTATTTGTATGTTATCAACTACAAAAACCTTTTTGTTAGCGTCTTTGTTAGACTTATCTGCATGTTCGTTTGAATTTGTTAGTCAGTTGTATTGTATATTTGTGATGTATGTTTACACAGTTTTGGCTTCCGGATCCCAATTAGTATTATTACTGTCACAATAACCTATTATATATGTTAGGGTTGCTTATCCAGTTTTGTCAATATAACAGAACTATAAGCAACTGTTATATAAGTGGAAGGTTTAGCTAGCTATGAAACCAGGTTTAACCCGCCATTTTCTTTGGTAAATGACTGTACGTACCAAGTCAGAAATATGACGGTTGTTTTTCATTCGTTTCGTTGGTTGATCTCATGTTTGATTTTGTCAGTGTTTATTGACTACCTCCTGTTACCTTGGAGTTCGGTATTTTTGTTATACTTTTATACTTAATACATCTTCATCTGGGGTTTTAAAGAAAAAATGAAAAGATGCTAAAATTTATCCTTTGAATTCACGCTACCCACTATATACAGATGATGTTCTCTCATTGATTTATTCAAAGTTTGGTGTATTTATTGATCTCATCTACCCAATTAAGCTTAAGATAAACGATGTAAGAAATATATAAGGTTGCTTCATAATTCCATTTACATCTAGAAAATGACACCTAGCAAACAGTTCCGCTTAAACTGGTGCTTGAACCTTCTATAACGTTTGTGACTTTCGTCATTGTGACAATAACAACGACCTTCCTTTTATTTCTGTTTTCTCAAGTACGTGTAGGGATTTTGTATAATGATTTACTACACCATATAAAATTAGGAGATATGGTATTGGTATGATTGCCAATGAGACAACTATCCAACGAAGTTTAAATGAAGTGGATGTAAGCAACCATATGCAACCGTACGGCCTTCAACAATGTGGAAAACCCATACCGTATAGTCGGCTATAAAAGGCCACGACATGAAAAATATGAAACAATTCAATTGAGAAAACTAACGGCCTAATTTATAACAAATCTATTTACGAAAAACAAATATGACAGACATGAACCAACGACAACCACTGAACTACAGGCTCCTGACTTGAGACAGGCACATTGGCGGGGTTAAACATGTTTGTGAGTACAACATAAGAACAAACATGTTTGTGAGCGCTCAACCCTCCCATAACCTGGGACAGTGGTGTAACAGTACAACATAAGAACAAACTATAACAGTTGAAAAAGGTTTAACTCATCAGATGGATACAAATAGAAATACATCTAACACAAACACAGAGTGGAAGTCGACGGGTACTTATACATCCCAAAAACAAAAAGACACTAAGTACATAACTGAAAGTACTCGCAGTTACGGACAGCTTGTTCAAAGCCAATAACAACTAATAAAAAAACATGTATCTAAGACTAAAATACCAATCAGTACACATCCAACATCCAATGGATTTAGTGTAAAAACGTCATTAACAGTCAGAAAAAAACATGACCTGGTGCAATGCCAAAATATAGGTATCGACAGATTGTAGTACCGTGAAAGTATACATACGTGTAATATTTAGTATGTTTTTAATTTACTTATAACAAAATCAATATTTATACCAATAAAAACAATATCAAGTATATAGGGTTGCTGCTTATAAAATGTATAAAAAAGTTAATGAAGGTAAAGTTGACGAAATATCAATCTCTCCGAAATTTTCACGGACGACATCATGATTTGATTGACATTTTAAAATATTTGTAACACAGATGACGACGAATATGTTTCAGTTGTCGGAGCAACAATCCATATCCTTTTCTGTTTCATAACTATAAGGATCATTTAAGAAATGAACTTTACGACAAGTTCCCTAGTGTGAACTTTGAATCAGCAACATGCATGTGGAGTATAAATCTCCTGTTTTTCTGATACTATTTTCCAGACTTACGTGATCTACAGTATATAGGGTTGCTGCTTATAACATTTATAAAAAAGTTAATAAAGGTAAAGTTGTCGAAATATCAATATCTCCGAAAGTTTCACGGACGACATCATGATTTGATTGACAATTTGAAATATCTGTATCACAGATGACGACGAATATGTTTCAGTTGTCGGAGCCACAAACCAATCACAAGTTTCTCGTTTATGACATCAAAGACTGCAAATTATCACTGGATTTGTACTTATCATAAGCAGCACCACGGGTGTCCTAAATAGAGCACGTACTGTTTACACGTCTGGGGCTTTTGAAACCACGAAGTTTTTGTTTTGGTTCGCGTTGTTCAAACTAAAAAATTGAGTTAAGTGTTATGTGGACTATTGTTTGTCTTCGCGGAATTTTTTCCTGTGGCCAAGAGGGGTATCTGTCTTTTTTATCTTAAGTTTTTTATTATCCCCCTGGTATCTTCTTACTTTATTCTAGGTCCAAATGCTGGGAATTATTACATTGGACGTGAAACCCTAGGCGATACTCTGACGGATGTTTGGAGAACGGATCTTACACAGTCTCATGGCTTTATGGCTGTGATGCATGTGTCTGTCAAAGACTGTTTGCTTATGACAGAAATCGATTATGGAACCATTCAAGGAGGTAATTTTACATTTATCAAAAACTATTTAAATCCGTATCATGTAGATGCGGATCAGAAAATTGTTAAAGTGTTAAAAGCATGGCGGGTTCCTTCCTAGTTTCGTCGATTTTTTAAGTGATTTAACAAAATATCTTCTGGATCTGACAATGATACGCACGTCTGTAGAAAAAGAAGACACATTCTTCACATTAATAAATAAGCCTTTGCTATAAAACCGAAAGAAACTATTGTTTTAATATACTGAAGGGGTTTTTGTACTATAAGTCTTCAAACTAATCGCCCATATTTATAATACCAACAGGCAACTTAAACCATACTAATTAGTAGAGGGCTTAGAGAACTTACCAAGGTGGTTTCATATTGTAGAAATGGATGAATATTTCAATAGCACGTATTTGTCAAAAAATATTTCTACAGTTAAATGCAGTTTAATGCACACACTTAATTTGTTACTTTTATGAAGAAAGGATTATGGTGAATAGACGATCGAAAGAACAGTATATATATATATATATCACACTAATACACTTTTTATAAGTAACTATTCTGTTAAAAATAAGATCAATCTAATGAAAACATAGATGGATGATGGATGCTTGTTACACCATATCCATAAATATTTGGCTTGAATCTATTGGGGTTTCGGGGTGTTTTTTTACATCACCGAAATGTTTTGTATTGTTTACTTTTTCAGTTAAGATACAGAGTACCACCATCTTATCTGATGCAGTACCACGTATTGAAGACCAGAATGTCTTCCAAGTTCCCCAGCAATGTCACCATCAGCCCTAAAAGAGGAAACAATGACAATAGTTATATTTTGGTTGCATTATCGACAATTTTCATTTTATTAGATATAGAATCAGCAGCAAAATGTGTTGTTTTCTTTAAACTAAAGAGTTTGTGAGATTGAGAGATTTAGAAGAAGTATTTTCTCTTGGTGAAACAATGTTCCATATGTGAATGTTAATACGATGTTGTATGTCTGTACGATAACATTTTTGTGGGTATTTAAGTTGCCAAAGAAACGTCGTTACTGAAAAATGAAATGACAAGACATCCACAGAAATTTAAAGAAAATGCAATACTTTGACTCATAATAAACAGAAGTAGATGTGGCGTGTTTTCTAATGAAACAACCAGTACCAGCTGCTACCAATGACCAAAGGACGAGGATGTAAACAACTCTTCTCTTGTGGAGAGTTGTCTCATTGGCAATCATACCACATCTTCTTATTTTCATATAGGACACTATACGGCCTTCTACAATGCCGGCGCAAATCCTTTTGGTCTTTCTCCTTTTTTGCCATGGCGTTGTCAATTTATTTTCGACTTATGAGTTTGAGTGTCCCTTTGGTATCTTTCGCCTCTCTTTTTTATTGTATAGTAGGCTATAAAAGGACACGAAAAAAATGTAAAACAATTCATAAGAGTAAATTAAAAGCCTGATTTATGCTATAAAACAATACACAAAAAACAACTAAATGATAACAGTTGGACTCTCATTCCACTAATATGAAAACCTGATTGCATGCACTGATATATTATCGAAGTTGGACACTAATATAAAAACCGGATTGCATGCACTGATACATTAACGTAGTTGAAGTAATAATGACTTGAGCTAAACAAAACGTACAATCAATCATTCAGTTATAATTGGTCGCCGGTCTGCTTTGGTGTTCATGCGATTCAGTCATCTTTTGTTTGTTACCTTAATCTTAATTGTCTTCTTATAAAAATAAGGAGATGTGGTATGATTGCCAATGAGACAACTATCCACCTACAACAATAAGGAGATGTGGTATGATTGCCGATGAAACAACTATCCACCTACAACAATAAGGAGATGTGGTATGATTGCCGATGAGACAACTATCCACCTACAACAATAAGGAGATGTGGTATGATTGTCAATAAGATAACTATCCACCTACAACAATAAGGAGATGTGGTATGATTGCCAATGAGACAACTATCCACCTACAACAATAAGGAGATGTGGTATGATTGCCGATGAAACAACTATCCACCTACAACAATAAGGTGATGTGGTATGATTGCCGATGAGACAACTATCCACCTACAACAATAAGGAGATGTGGTATGATTGTCGATAAGATAACTATCCACCTACAACAATAAGGAGATGTGGTAGGATTGCCAATGAGACAACTATCCATCAGAGTTCAAATGAACTGGATGTAAGCGGACGATTAATCGATTTATGAGATTTGAACATTGGTAAACTCATGATTTTTGTCTAAAATTATACAACATATGATGCAGATTTAGCTTTTGTCCGGAAAGGGGGCACATAGAGACGTACCGCCAGTCGTACCACAGGTGCGAGATGAGAAATTTGTAAATATATATAATAGAAAAGGGAGGATATGGGGTATCCATCCTTGACACAAAATCAGTATGTGCACAGTAAAAAACAAAACAATAAGCAAATGAACATCACTTTTATTGCTGTTCTCCATCTCAAAATCACAGTGAGTCCTTCTACACGGAGCAAACAAACTTTCACCTCACTGCAATTTTAAGACGGCCCCTAGCACCGGTTTGAGCGGAATTATTTATCAAACTGACGATCACGCCACAACTTTGAATTGAAGAACAAAGCCATGGAGTAATATCAATAAAATAAATCTGGCAAAGAAATCAAACATGTACTGTCATGGTTTAACTGAAACGTGCAAAATAAAATATGAATATTTAGACAACCACGGGGCACATTAAGATACATGTAAGATAACTTGGCAGGAAATAATGTATGTATATGGCAAATAATTCGGGTAGACTATGTAAGATGTAACACCACCAACTATATATATATTTACATGGAAGTGTTACCATTTACCAGCACAAAGTTCAGGTTTTGGTAATTAAACCAGAAAAAAGACAAGATATATATAGTACAGTGATTTATATTGTCGTACAAAAGCAGTGATAAGGTATCAATTTGATAGATGATAAGGTATCAATTTGATAGAAAAGACACAATTAAGATTTCATTCCAAATTCATAGCTATAAAATATCTTCTGAAAATGTTACTTCATCTGGAAAATTTGAGGTAATGACAATATTCTTGTTTCTTCAAAACCAATTGCTCTTTGTAGAACAAGAGAAAAGTTACAATATTAAATTATTACTTCTGTAGTCGTCTCATATGCACATCTTCGTGTATGACGCCACTCGGATATGAGAAGATTACATCTAATGCATATACTCAAACACAACTTGAGTATACTTATATTAAAAATCTCGTCTCGCACCTGTTAGTCGTACATTTTAATGCATGTACACAAAACTGTGACACGTTCAAATTCTACAAATTAAAGTATGTTACGCAGGGTGTCCCATACTGAACTTCTGTACTCTAATATGTGGTCTAACCAGTGCAATATAAGCATGTTGTTTGATAGTCTTTGATGTCTTGAGGGCATAGTATTCTATAGTATTGACTGTGACTAATACATGAATTTATCTATTGGCCCCAGGTGTTGGCATCGGTACTTGTAAATGGCCTAAAACTAAAAAACTTAGTTGCTGTGACGCTTTATCTATCTTTGAGATAATGTTGTGGTTGAAATTAAGATTGATTTCCACTACACAATGACATGCCAAGATCTTATTTATTGGTACAGTGTAGAAATGAAATAAATAACTTTAAGTCATTTATAGAATAATAGAAAGGTTACCTGGTAATGTACTGAGAGCTATTATTAATATTAACTCTGAAATTGGATAATTGATGGAGAGACATGTAAATAAGCATGATGATGTTAACCAGTTTATCAAATGTTCTGGTAATGGGGCAAGAGTAGGCAGAATTTCAATTTTGTAATGTTCTCATTCGCAATGCCCATATTGCGAATATTGTATCTTTTTAAGAACAGCAAACGTTTACTTTGTTGAATGCCAAGAAAATCCTGAAAGTTTGAAAAAATGCTCTGTATACCTGTACTATTCCATCAAATAATCAACATATTGTTAAGGGAGAAATGACTTGTAGCTAGCTAGAAAGGATAGGAATGTAAAATATTTTGTTGGTTCAGATATTTAATTATTCAATTATTTTTAGGATAAGATTCCTCTTCGGGTGAATATGTCTGTCCTTGGTGTAAGGTTGGCAAAAATGAAGATCCAATTTGTCATTTCATTGGAACTTACCATGGGCCTAGCTGGCAATGCTAGAACAGTTGAATACATTGCCCAGGTAGCAAAGCAGAATAAAAAGGAATTCGGCTGTAAACTGCCCCATTTTTTTGTGTGTCGATCAGTACATCCCTGCTAAGCTACATTTAATGCTCGGAGTAACAGATGTCTTGCTAAGAAATATAATCTATGACGCAAAAGATCTGGATGCTGATCTAACAGTTAAACGTTTACAACAAACGAATGTAAACAAGAGGCTCTCAAGAGCCTGAACGCTTACCTGTATTTCAGAAGAGAAGATTTTTAAATGTTAGCAAACTTGATGAACAAATTGTGTAAAATTGTCTTTAAAGGGCAATAACTCCTTAAGGGGTCAATTGACAATTTTGGTCATATTAACTTTTTTGTAGATCTTACTTTGCTGAACATTATTGCTGCTTACAGTTTATATATATATATCTATAATAATATTCAAAATAATAACAAAAAACTGCAAAATTTTGTTAAAACTACCAATTCGGTGGCAGCAACCCAACAATGGGTTGTTCGATTCGTCTGATAATTTCAGGGCCGATAGGTCTTGACCAATTTAACAATTTTACCCTATGTCACATCTGCTCTAAAAGATTAAGTTTTTGAGATATAAGCCAAAAACTGCATTTGACCCTTATGTTCTATTTTTAGCCATGGCGGCCATGTTTGTCGATGGATATAAACTTCGGATACAATTTATAAACAAGATACCCTAAGGAACATTCAGTTAAAGTTTGAAGGTAATTGTCCCAGTAGTTTCAGAGGAGAAGATTTTTAAATGTTAGCAAACTTGATGAACAAATTGTGTAAAATTGTCTTTAAAGGGCAATAACTCCTTAAGGGGTCAATTGACAATTATGGTCACTTAACTTTTTTGTAGATCTTACTTTGCTGAACATTATTGCTGCTTACAGTTTATATATATCTATAATAATATTCAAAATAATAACAAAAAACTGCAAAATTTTGTTAAAACTACCAATTTGGTGGCAGCAACCCAACAATGGGTTGTTCGATTCGTCTGAAAATTTCAGAGCTGATAGATCTTGACCAATTGAACAATTTTACCCATGTCAGATTTGCTCTAAAAGCTTTAGTTTTTGAGATATAAGCCAAAAACTGCATTTGACCCCTATGTTCTATTTTTAGCCATGGCGGCCATGTTTGTCGATGGATCAAAACTTCGGATACAATTTATAAACTAGAAACCCTAAGGAACATTTAGTTAAAGTTTGAAGGTATTTGGCCCAGTAGTTTCAGAGGAGAAGATTTTTGAAATAGTTTACGACGACAGACGACGACAGACGACGGACGACGACGGACGCCAAGTAATGGCATAAGCTCACATGGGGCCCTTCGGGCCCCGGTGAGCTAAAAAGGGCAAAATTGACACTGACAGGAATGTTGGGTTTGATTAAGATTAGACAAATTTGTCTGTCTCAGAGTTTTAAACTTTTTTTGTCTGGTCAGAGAAAGTTTAAAACTTTTTTGTCTGGCTCAAAGAAAGTTTAAAACTTTTTTGACTGGCTCAGAGAAAGTTTAAAAAGTAAAATAACCCTGGTTTTATGGCTAGCTTAACCTCTCACTTATATGACAGTCGCATAGAATTCCATTATAAAACAACCGAATGTGCGAGCAAAAAAAACTTTTTTTTTACTTTTTTTCTGGCTCAGAGAAAGTTATTTTTTAATTCAGCTTCGAGGTCAGTTATTGTTGCCTGTTGTTATTCATACGAAACAAATGTATTGAGTTTATGGTAGGATTTTCTTTCTTTGTATAAATATAATAACGAGAGAACAGACCTTTGATCTGTTCTTAAAAAAAACAAGATTTGGATTGAAATTTATTATTATGTTTAAAGAATGGTACAAAGTGTAGGAGAGGCTATAATTCACACAATACTGAGCATGCCTTATATCGGCATTGGTATGTTTATCATTTACCATAACGTTTGTTGAAATCATATTCTGGTGAGGTTCTACTCGGAAAAAAAACAACGATATTTGGAAGCAGATCCACCAAAAGAAAAGTAACAAGTTGGATTCTGCTGTTATTGCTTTATCAACTCGTAACTGATGAGTGGAATTTGGATACATGAATAATATGGAAAGGGAAAAAAGGTCTGAATTGTTAAACATTCGGAATGGTAGGATTTGTCATTGAAAATTTTAGGCATGGGAAGCGAAAAGAAAGGTTGACACCAGTAAGTGAAGAAAAATTCACTGCAAAACCCCTCAGTTGAACTTGACTGGAGAAATGAATGAACTTGAATAATGAGCCTACTTAAAAGATCTTGGAATATTCACAAAAATAAGAAATAGAGAGGGATTGATTTAGTCTGATTTCTTACAATTGTCTAAATATATAACTAAAAAAAACATTACCATTGGTACGCCGAACCGGAGACATGTATACCCTGACAAATGTAAAGGCTAAAATTGTACAGCCACTGGTAAAAACACGGAAAATATACGTTGTCGCACGTCGTTTCAGTTAGTTTTAAACGAGGGGAACTAACTCTTTACATAAAACAAACGTTCGCAAAACAACCCTACAAAATCGTAAAATCTTGTCTGTGGGTTTGTCTAAATATCTGCCTTTAATCTCTAAAGAATCCTTTTGCACAAAATGGCTTCATTGGACATAAATAAGTTAGATTTATATGCTATTCTTGACGTATCTGAAGAAGCTTCAGAAAAGGAGGTAAATTATGCAATTGTAATTTCCAATCATAGACTATAGTCTTGTTGAAGGGAAAAATGTTGCCATCTATTTATATGAATATTTGCGCCAAGACAACTATTATGATGAAATACAAAATTTGATTTTTAACTAGTATACATTATGGTTTAGGGGCCAGCTGAAGCCCACCTCTGTGTGCCTTATATGCGGGATGTTCTCCCTGCTTTGAATACCCATTTGGGGCTGTTTTCTGCTCTTTGGTCGGGTTGTTGTCTCTAGATATATAAAAGTTTAATGTATTTTGCGTTTCACAAAGATAAAATCTTTTTTGGATTTTGATTGGCATTTTTTTCGTTCCAGCAGAAGGTGTAAAAATAAACTAAGTTGTGATACAACTTTGAGATGCTCCCTATCAGGTAAGAACTGTTTTGTATTGTATTGATTGTCCTTGATTGGCATGGAAAATAGACAGACAATATCTATAGGTGAGTTAAAGGGTGTATGTAACTGATTGGACAGTATCAAAAGCAATTCAGGTGTTTGTTTATTTTTACACCTTCTGCAGGAACGAGAAAAAATGCCCATCAAAATCCCAAAAAGATTTTATCTTTTTTAAACGCAAAATACATTCAACTTTTATATATCTAGTGGATGCCAGGCCTTAAAACTTTCCAACTGCACAGGTAAGTCTGTACACAGAGTAGTTTTTGAGGTGAAAATACGGCCATATTTGTCCATTTGTTATGATGAACCTTAACAAGCAGTCATTCAAAACAAGAAATAGGACAGAAAGTCATTGGACAAAAAGTCACAAAACAGATACAATATACATATGAAATTATTTCTTTTTATAAGAATAATTCATTTAACAGTTAAAGAAATTATTCATCTACATTATTAAATTTTTTTTTTTTAAATTTTAATCATACAAATGAAAGATTTTTGTCTGACATCATGAAATCCAGTTGATTAAAAGAAAGCTTTGACAGCTTGTTTTTCAACAGTGAACTTGATAAAAATTTGACAGAAAATATTCCTTGCAAAGTAGTTTGATATATAATTATTATATTCATGATATTAGTAGTCAATAAAAAAAAAACCAAAAAAACATTTAAAAAAAAAAATTCTTTAAAGTAAATTCTTTAATATCATTACTTTAATCATTTTTTCAACATTTATATGCCCTGAACTTCTAAGAATTTAGACTTAAACTAAAACTTGTATTACCCTCCCTTCACTTTGGGTCTTCATCAGAATTCAATTTGGCCGCTATCCATGGGCGTGTTTTTATTGGTCTCTTTTGTACATCTCCAGAATGTCTTCTGGTGAAGAGTCCAAAAAAATGAATCTGGACCTCTTCTGGAGATATTCTGTAGAAGAAGCAATAAAACAAAAATTCAATTTGCCGTCGAATATAATAGAATTTTTTTATGTTGGATAACATAAACGAAGTTTATGATGATTTATTAGAAAATTTAGTTATGTCAGTTCATTCGGTAGACATGACTTTAATTGCGTTCTCCGCTTTGGCATTGATGTAATTATATGATAAGGGAAAAGACAAAGAAAATTGTTGGAAAAAATCGCTGTGTATGTGAAATTGTTTCTTTATCATGTTTATGCTTTTCTAGCTTAATTTTAACAAACAAATCCAGCTTAAAGCTCAGACCATTAAATTTTTTGGAAAAATCTTAAACTATACAAGAATTTGTCAATTTTTGTCTGGTATATGATCGAAAAGGACATCTTGTCTATAAGCATTGTATATAAAAGATATCGCAGAGTTCTCAAAATCTTTAATCCCTGTTGGTCCTTGAAGAAAAATATACTGGTCCTAACTATTACTTCTATTTCAAAATACCAAAATTGTGCCGGTCCTTGCAATATTTCGATGGCTAAAACCTTCGGACCACCACTTTTTGAGAACCTTAATTGTATATGTTTTTAAGATACTAGTATACAAGGATGACTAAATCCGTTGGTTGTGTACTGATTGATACTTTAATCTGGGAGAGCATGATTTCAAGCCGTTCAGTTACCGAAAAACTCTTTATTTCGGTGCTTTACGTTTATCCTTTTAATGTTAGTTGTTTTTGTGTCTCGTACCGATTTTTTGAGTAAATCCAATTGCAACTGATTTTTACAGTTTGTTCTTATGTTGTACTGTTACATCACTACCCCAGTTTAAGGGAGTGTTGAGCGCCCACAAACATGTTTTACCCTGTCACATTCTCCAAAGTCAGGAGCCTATAGTTCAGTGGTTGTTGTTGGTTCATATCTGTCAACTCATATTTGTTATTTTTTTAAAAAAGGTTTTGATATATATAGTTAGGCCGTTATTTTTTTATTTTTTCATTGTTTCATATTTTTCATGTCGGGGCCTTTTATAGCTGACTATACGGTATGGGTTTTTGTCATTGTTGAAGGTCGTACGGTTGGTTATAATTGCTGACACTACTTCATTTGAACTCCGGTTGATAGTTGCCTAATTGGCAATCATGCCACATCTCCTTACTAGTTTTATATTCTATACCTGACTTTTAAATTCGTGTTTTTTTCTGAACATGTATGGACATTAAAAATAAGAAACCAAAAATCAATCAATTTAAACTCGTGTTAAATAAGGGGAAAACCATTTGATTTTTTGGGAAGGGGGACAGAAGGATTTTGAATATGAATATGGTGGCCTGGTAAGAGCTGGAAAAAATAGGCATGCTTAGCGACAGATTAAAAATTTAAAATGAATAAAAAAATCTGCAAAAAATCTTCTGCCTCTGCCGTCTAAACTACCTATTTAAAAAGAAGAGATAGAAGAGAGCCAGAAGATTTTCCCAATGCAAAAAAACAGAAATGAACCTCTTCTGGCTCACTACTGAAGAACAAAAAAAAACGCCCCATGTGTATATTTACTAGTAACATTCCTGAGTTATGTCTCTATGAGTTGAAACATGGATCATATCTGGGAACCAGTACGTAAACAAAACAAAATATCTATGAATGTTATATATCTCCCTAAAAGAGGCGTTGTTTGTGAAACAGCTGTATTTACAATGTGCAACCTCTACCTACAAATGTACTTGACAATGGATGAATTGCAGGAATATGTACATGTATATGAAATACTCGAATATTTGATACTTTTGGATCAGGTAACGGATTTAATTAAAAGAACCTTTGAAAAAGAAGCTATGAAGTGACACTTTATATTTGTCCAAATAGATTTTGACTGCCTTTTTGCTGGCAAGCATAAGTAGATCAGCAATTTATAATTGTAAAGGAGTAAATCGATAAGGGCCCTTTTTGGCCCAATAAATTAAGTCCATTATTTGAAGATAAAAAGAGCTTCAAGTTGACGCAAATATGTGTGAGAAAATGAAATGAATAATGGTGAAGTTTTCATACAAAGCTTTGCCAGTTACAACCAAGACACGGTTATTTCTACCACAATTTATTAATTAGGTCTAGGAAACACAGCGCAGGGTTTGACAAACTTAATATTCAAGTTAGATAGTTATTTTTTTAAAACAACAATAATATTAAAATATCTTTTTGCTGTATCTTTCTGGTACCAAAAACCTACCATTATTGAAATTTGCAAGATTTCATTCAATTTGGTAAAAATTCAAATTTATGCTAATTATGATGTCATGAAAAGAACACAGATATATATGTAAAATTTTCACACAAAAATATATTCCTTATAGTCATTCTTAAAGCTATGATACATTGTGACAATGGCTTTAAATCCTAATTTGAAATGAAGTTTGGAATAGGGGCCATTTTGTTGATAGGGGTCGCCTTTGCTTACCCCATTTCATGGTTTATTTTCATATTGAGGTTAGTAAATAGGCCAGTTCTTAATTAATGAATTTGTTAAACCTATAGTAGCAATTGTAGATTGTTTTTATGTGATACAAATTACCCATGTGAGTTTGACACATGTAGTTTGACCCTTGATATCAACTTTTGATATATTATTTAGATATTATCTGACAGTTAACCAGGCAGAACATTTTTACATATCCACTATTGATACATGTCATGCATGTACATGTTTGTGATGTGAAAGTGTTTTGGCTTTGTTATTTTGTATAATACTGCATACATATGGCCTGTAATTTAATGTTTAAAACATGAGGCACTAATTACATTTGTCCTCAAAAACAATACTTGTATGTTGAAAACTAAGATATATTTGCATCATGTCTTATTTTATGTCATTTTTCTTTCAGCTTGTGAAAGCATACAGAAAACGTGCACTAAAATGTCATCCTGACAAAAATCCTGATGACCCAAATGCAGGTATGGGCAATATTGTCAGTAAATAAGTAAAAATTGTGCTTATTAAATTATTTATATTATCTTATGTTAACAGAAAGAGTTATTTAACATGTGTCATGTGTGTAATGCAAATATTATTATTAATATAAAAGCAAAATTCAACTAAAGAAAAAGAAATAAACTTGTGGACACTAGTAATGATTAGTTTACTTAGAAACATTGTCATGATTGTGCCATGCTTAAAAAATAATTTGTCTTCCCATTTTGCATAATTAGTTAGATAATTGCAGTCTTCACGATAAACTTTTAAATCTACAGGCCAGGAGCTCAAATTTTGGAAAATTTTAGTTAGACTCTGTTGGCCTGTGCAGATGATTTTTACAGGCCCAGAAGGAATTTTACAAGCCTGGACTGCTGGGCCTGTGGTTCAGCGTGAAGACTGTAATTGAATCACAACTTGAGTAATATGGTTTGAAATTGATTCATGTAAGTTCCAAAAATTAGAAATCAACAATCTTGCCATATGGTGTCTAACATAAAATATGCAATGGTTGAAAGTTTTGAAACACTCAGTAGTTTGTCAGATGGTAGGTAACACCCCCTCCCCCTATGTTTTAGTCAGAAAGTGAGAAGAATATATATATATAGAATATATACATGTATATAGATCTAGAAGTTTTATAAATAAATATGTATTGCTTTGCAAATGAGGCTAATCTTGTGTAACTTGTTCCCTGCTATAAAATTACTGGATAATATCATCTGATTTTTAGCTCTGACACCTGACATCAATGGTGCCTCATACTCTATCACTGTTGTGTGTCCCTTATTTTTTACAAAAATTCTTTTCCTCTGAAACTACTGGGCCAATTGGAAACAAAGTTGGCCACAACCATCATTGGAGTATCTAGTTTAAAAAAATGTGTCCAATAATTCTTTCTAGTTCCTACCTATACCAACATAACCATCATTGCTAAAGATTGAACAGGGGGTAACATGCAAGTTTTGTCTGTCTGGCAGGTTCCATCTGACCTTAACCTCATTTTTAAGTTTAATTGATCAATGCTCAGTTTTCATGTCTTTGTCTATCAGATACCATAAGTGAAAGGTCAATGTATTTGGTGTATGGAATAATTGTAAGATGTACATGTCTGTCTGGCAAGTTCATCTGACCTTGACCTCATTTTCATGGTTCATTGGTCAATGTTTAGGTATTGTAATTAGGTCTGTTTCTCAGATACTGTAAGCAAAAGGTCAACTGTATTTGGTGTATGGAATGTTTGTAAGATGTACATGTCTGCCTGGCAAGTTCATCTGACCTTGACCTCATTTTCATGGTTCATTGGTCAATGTTAAGGTTTTGTAATTAGGTCTGTTTCTCAGATACTGTAAACAAAAGGTCAACTGCATTTTGTGTATGGAATGATTGTAAGATTTATATATCTGTCTGGAAGGGTTCATCTGACCTTGACCTCATTTACATGGATCATTGATAATGTTAAATTTATCATGATAAGTAAACCAGGCAATACATTTCAGTGTGTGCACTCTTGTTGCTTATTATCTTGAAAACTATGATAGATTAGTCATAAAAAGAAACCTTAGATAGCAAAAACTCATCAGCAGGTTAAGATCTAAATTTTTGTCAACTTGGCTGAAATGGTGGCTAAACTTCTTATTGAAGTTATTGCCCCTAAATGACATTTTTTACCATTTTTTGCATTTTTGGCCAAACTTAAGGTAGATACAGAAAATCTGTAATCAGTAAAAATGATAGACTGGACAGAATTTACAAATTTGTCCAGATAGCAGTTATTGTCTATTTGTCTTCTTATAGGAGTTATTGCCTTTTAATGATGGATGAACCGTACCATTTTTTGCATATTTTGCCAAAACTGAAGGAGACAAAAGAAAAATTGAAAACAGTAAATATTATCAGGAAGACAAGATCTTCAAATAAATAAACCATGGTTGAATTTGTCAGTTGAATTCATATAATAGGAGTTATTGTCCTTTAATGATGATTTTTACCCAATTTTGCATATTATGCAAAACTATAAATAGTTGGAGAGAAACTGAAAAAGAGAAAAAAAATTTATCAGCAATTCAAGTTCTACAAAAAAGATATCTTAGTCATGAAAATTTACATAGCACAGATCCAGGTGAGTTATATATGCCCTTTAAAGCTTTTAGTTTAGGTTGTTAGTTATAGGTTAAATTATTTTATGTTGCATAGTGTATTTTGTGTTGCTTGTGTGTTTTTCTCTGTAAGAACTGGATCATTGTGTTAAATATAGCTTTGTTACTTCCATTTTAAATATACTTTCTTTTTATTAGCTGAATTATTCCATAAGTTATCAAAGGCCTTAGAACTGCTAACAGATCCTGCTGCACGTGTAAGTTTTTATTTAATCTAGAAAACAAAATAAAGGAGATCTTTGTAAACAAGACATTATGATACAAGAAAAGTTATTCTCTCCTTATTTATTGAAACTGCACTTTTTACAATTACGTTACCCACACTGAAGATTTAAACTTACGGTTTTGAATAATTCCAAAAAAATAATTTGGAATGAGTTGAATAGTTTCAAAGAACTATCAGTATGTGGGGAGAATCTGGGCAGATAAATTTATTGAAATGAGAATTATAACCATTGTGGAAATTGCATTTGATATTCAGCCAAATTGTTTTGAATGAGAAAGATATTTTATGTATTTACATAGGCGGCTTATGACAAAGCTCAAAAAGCAAAGAAGGCAGCAGAGAAGAGACACAAGGAACTTGATAAGAAAAGGCAAAAACTAAAAGAAGGTTTGAGTCATTATTAAGCTTCTCTTTTGTTTGCATCTTTTTTTTTCTTGGTAATTGCTTTAAGATGAATATAAATAAGAAGATGTGGTATGAGTCCCAATGAGATAACTCTCCATCCAAGTCACAATGTATAAAAAGTTAACAATTATAGGTTAAAGAACCTTGTTCTGTTCTGCAAAAAGTAAAAGGCATTATTAAACAAAAGGGTTAAGTGATATTCAAATAACAGAGAGTGAAATTGTCGATATACTTCTTACACTTGATCCTAAAAAAGCATCTGGGCCAGACAAAATCAGTCACAGGATGCTTAAAATATCCCCCCAAAAAATTGCAAAACCCCTTAAAATTATATTTAATAAATCCCTGTCCCAAGGTAAATACCCTTCTTCATGGAAAATAGCAAATGTAATTGCCATATTTAAGAAAGCAGATGCATCCCTACCATCTAATTATCGACCGATATCCCTAATTAGCTGTGTAGGAAAAGTAATGGAGAGGGTAGTCTACAAACATATTTATAACCATCTACATAGGAACAAACTTATTTATATGTATCAGTCAGGATTTTTACCTAAACATTCAGCTGTACATCAACTTATTGAACTTTATAACACAATATTAAATTCTCTTGAAAAAAAAAGAATTCAGTTGCTTCGTTTTCTGTGATTTTTCCAAAGCATTTGATAAAGTATGACATAATGGACTTATATATAAAATGAATTCTTATGGAATAAAGGGAAATTTACTTGCTTGGACTAAAAATTATCTTTTTCAAAGAAAACAAAAAGTAGTTATTAGAGATTCGTCTTCGTCATTGTCCATTGTTTCTGCGGGGGTCCCCCAAGGCTCTGTTCTCGGTCCCCTTTTATTTTTGCTGTATATAAATGATATTGGCGAAAATTTAATTTCACTGACTAGACTTTTTGCTGATGATACGTCGCTGGGATATTCCACCGCAAGCATTACAGACTTAGAGGTAGTAGTTAATCATGATTTAAACAAACTCAATGATTGGTCAAAAAATTGGTTAATGTCCTTTAACCCAGATAAAACGGAAATAATGATTTGCTCAAATACTAAGATTCCAAGTAATTTAAGTTTTTCTTTCAATGGAAGATCAATATCTAACACATCAAGTCATAAACACTTAGGTGTAACTCTCTCCCAGGACGCAAAGTGGAATGAGCACGTAGAAAATATTTCCAAAAATATTACAAAGCATTTAGGAGTCTTAAGAAAATTAAAATTTAAGATGAAAAGACAGAACTTAGAAAAAATGTATCTGGTATATATTCGTCCTATATTTGAGTATGCTTGCGAAGTGTGGGACAATTGTGGTATTTGCTATTCAAACAAATTAGAAAAACTTCAACTGCAAGCTGCGAGGATTGTAACAGGACTGCCAATCTTTACTAAAACCGAATATTTATATTTAGAGACTGGCTGGGAACCCCTTCACAGTAGGAGGCACAGAAGAAAACTCCAATTATTTTATAATATGTACAATGGTCTCGCTACACAATATTTATGTGATTTAATTCCCCCAACTATACAAAGTACAACTGTTTATCCACTGCGTAATGGCAATGACTTAATAGTCCCCTTTTGTCGACTCTCCTTAACAAATTCTGAATTTATTCCCTCGTCCATCCGAGAATGGAACAAACTTGATAATTCTATCCGTACACTTGATACCCTATCTAAGTTCAAACGCTATTTGTTGAATAATACATACGAAGCAAAGACTGTACCTAAGCATTTTATGTATGGTCCGCGGAAATTGAGTGTAATTTTAACACAGCTGCGATGTTCAGCCTCATTTCTAAATAACGACCTATTTGAATCAAATATAATACAAAGTCCATATTGTGCTTGTGGCGCTCCGCGTGAGGATTCATTTCATTTCTTCTTTAATTGCAATAAATACGCCGATATAAGGAACGATCTATTAACCAACATTCATCGTCTACAAGTGACAATAAATCTACAGTTGCTCACTGAGGGTAGCCAAACTTTAACATACGAGGAAAACTGTGAAATCTTTAAAGAAGTCTTTAGATATATAAAAAAATCAAAAAGATTCCTTGTAGTATAATCAAATAAGATATGACTGAACAAAAAACATCGTGTCCACAGAATTTCATTTATTTTTTTTCTTTATATTTGTATTATTTAATATTTTTTCTTTTTTTTTTTTTTTTCTTTTATTTATATTTTTTCTTTTCTTTTCTTTTTCTCAATTCTCTATCCTTTTCCTTGTTAATTGCGTTAGGCTTTTTTTTTTTTTTCTTTCTTTCTTTTTCTTCTCTGACTGTGCAAATGCCTCATTTTACTATTACCTTTAATATATATCTACTGAACTGTGCATGCTCTGTATAATTGTTATTGTAATATTATGTAAAGGAGAAGACTTCATAAGTTGGTTAAACTTGTGTCCGATCCTTTTTGTATCTATGAGCAAATAAAATCGTTATAAACTCAAACAAAAGGGTTAATATAAAAATTAATCAGACAAATGATAATCTAGGATGCTTGATAGCTGAAAGTGGCTTAAAAAGCTTAACCATATACAAGTCCAAGAAAAATATGAATTGTTGTGAAATACTATTTAATTATGAATTAAAAGTTTCAACCAATATTATCTGATAGATTATTATGATTAGGTTGTGAAAATGTCGTGTGACCAGTGGCTAAGCTGACTCACTGTAGACTTCATGAAGTATACTCATATCTGTTTTCAGTAAAGCTGTAAATATTATCTTAATAATAGGAATTGCTGTGAAATTTCCATCATTTCTTTAATTTTGTCAGTTTTATTCATAGAATGTCATTTAATTTTAATTGTAGATTTAGAATTACGTGAAGGGGAGGTTTATAAACAAAAGGAAACAGAATTTACAGCAACAAGGAATTTAGCTGCAGAAGTAAGATATTAAAACTGTGAATAAAGTTTTAAATCTGTTTTGTTTACCTCAGGAAAGTAAATCAAGGATTATTAACTTGCTAAGCCCCCTCCTACATTTTCTCCCAATCACACCACAATTGTCTTACAACCTGAATCACACCACAATTGTCTTACAACCTGAATCACACCACAATTGTTTTACAACCTGAATCACACCACGATCTACAATACAAGGATGTGTTACAGTTACCTTGTTATAATGAGAAAGGTTGGGAAATGTTTTGAAACATTCCTATTAAACAATTGATTTGACAAATATGAACCACTTGTTTAACCCTACCACAGGATAATGTGCCTGTCCCAAATCAGCAATTTTGCCACTGCATATCTTGGTTGATCATCTATAATATTTTGTCCATAAAAGAATTTAGTGTTGATATCAGATTCTTTAATATTCTCTTTTAAATTTATTAACTTTGTATACACTCATGATGATTAAGAGCTTGAGGTATAATAAGATATTGTTGACTTTTGTTGTTAACGGTATGGTGACCTCTAGATTAACTTTTTGGTGAAATTTTGTTATGTGGAATCTGTTATATTGATGCATACCCAAATCTCCTTTTTTTCTAAAAAATACTTTACATAAAGGATAAGATGATCTGTCTTCAAAGGTTTCACATGATGACTTGATATCCAATATGTCTTCAAAGGTTTCACATGATGACTTGATATCCAATATGTCTTCAAAGGTTTCACATGATGACTTGATATCCAATATGTCTTCAAAGGTTTCACATGAAGACTTGAAATCCAATATGTCTTCAAAGGTTTCACATGATAACTTGATATCCAATATGTCTTCAAAGGTTTCACATGATGACTTGATATCCAATATGTCTTCCAAGGTGTCACATGATGACTTGATATCCAATATGTCTTCCAAGGTTTCACATGATGACTTGATATCCAATATGTCTTCCACAGTGGACCATTTGTTTTACTTCTCATGTTTTGGGAATACATATAAAAAAATCTCTGCAGATGCTTGATTCATTTGGACCAAACATGTTTTTTTCCAGTTTAAATCTGACACATTTCTCATTTGTTGTTCAAGAGTTATGGCTGTCAGTAATGCTGATTTAGAATTTGATACATTTCACATATGTCATTACAGAACTGTTAATAATGTTGAAAATAGTCAAGTTTGAGGTTTCCAATCAATGACTTATATTTGCTTCAATAAAATCATTTTTTATTTTGTTACAATGCAAGGAACTATTTAACACAGAATAATTTTGAATTTTACACTTTATTTATTACTTGGAAGGTAGATATTTGTGATTTCCACTCAATAGCATGAGTATATTTTTTTTATAATTGATCGATATTTTAACAAAATAGAATCACTAAACTCAGGTCAAAATTTAATGTTTTACCACTTTTGTCATTCCAGAATTGAGCCTTTTATATTGGGAAAATAACCAATTTAACTGTGTGCTCAATAAAAAAGCTTCAAGCAAATTCATTGGAATTTGAACGGAACACTAGGAACTTCTGGTACTATTCATAGGCTGAGTTTAAATATGACAAATTGCACACTATAGTTATTCCAGATATATGACCTGAATAATGGAGGAAATAGTGTATTCATATACTATGTTTTTAATTTTTATAGGTTGAGAGATTGAGGAAAGAAGGTTCACGATTACTAGAGGAAGAACAAAATTTACTAAAGGAACAGATAAAGAAAGGAAATGAGAGAATAATTATAGATGACGTAGCAGAAGAAATAAAGACACCAAAATTAAAGGTATTATTTCTTTTGTCTGTAGACCATTGTTCAAACAACAGTTTTGTCAGAATAAAGCATATATATTGTAAATTTCCTCACATGTTATTTTCCAGTAGGTAAGCAGAATGTTAATCTTCATTTTCTATCATTAAAATCATAAATAATACCAGCAACTGTCCATTTAAGTTTGAAAATCATAAATAATACCAGTAACTGTCCATTTAAGTTTGAAAATCATAAATAATACCAGCAACTGTCCATTTAAGTTTGAAAATCATAAATAATACCAGCAAATGTTCATTTAAGGTAGCACAATACAATGATTTATTCACCCCCAATCAGTCAATTTTAAACTGATGTAATTTCTTTCATCCAGCTCTAAAAAAATTATAAATGAGGAACCAAAAGAAAGAAGAAAGATTAATCTTTCAAATGGCGATAATTTCATTATTGCACAATTGTTACATAATTGATTATTATGAAATTAGTTGCTTGATTGTCCACATTTGAATGAAATTAGCTTCATTGTTATTTATAGCAGCCCAAAATTTTTGATAGACTCTTGAGCAGCACAGTTTGACCTCCAAAACTGTGTCTCAGATTTTTCCTATTGTATTTTATTCTCTCATAAACCTTCAATTAAGTTTGCAACCTTAATTCATAAGAAATCACTAAATTTAATTGGATATAAAATTTGTTCTATTGATGTTTTTGGAAATCTGAGACCCAGTTTTAAAGATAACTAGTCAAGGAACAACATGTGCTAAAATCATGCATTTAGGGGCACCAATCTTGCTGCTAATTTCATTTAAAACTACTTTTTCATGGCAAAAATGTATGTGTCACAATTGAATTAATAAGGATTTTCCTACTTGAATCTCATTAACTTCAATATAATTCACACATATGGATACTTCAGGGTTGGCCTTTAGTCATAAATCAATTAGGTTTTGACTAGTAAGAAAACATTCCATTTCAGCAATTTTAAAAATATAAAGAAAATGCACATACTGTGCATTAAAATTCAGATCTGGCAGGAGAAGAAATATCATTATTGACCTTGATGTAACTTGTAAGTCAGTTGCTACTGATATGGTCAAAACTCCGCCCACCTGGATAAACATCAACTATTAATGATCTGAGAAGTTTATTTACACATTGCATATGCTTTTTTAATATGGATTTTATTCATTTGGTACATAAAACAATATATTTTGTTTTTAACATTTTCCTAAAAAAGTATGTTATGCATGTGTACATAAAATGATCAGTTGGTCAGTCTAGGGGATTCTTACGGGGGATTTCTAGAATTATAATTAAAATATGGTGTTTTACACAAAGTAGAATTTTCTTATTTTTGTAGTTTGAAAATAAAATATTTAATTTGTGTTTTCTTGTAAAAATAATTCATATTTAAACATTCACCTCAAGAAAATCTGATATAACCATCAGCAACATTAATTGTTGCACAATTATATTTGTTTAATGTTTGTACATTTATATTTTGATTCCCTCTATAGCTCCAAATAGTTTTTTGTTTTTTCTCCAGGCAGCTCCAATATATAAATGTATTTTTCATAACTGTTATTTTTATAGCTGGTCAGTAGTTACATAGATATAATAGCCATAGAAAAAGTACACAGAATTTGTCACACTGAGCCCCATGTAGTTTCCTTTGAAATATCAAAAGCAGGGCACTGTGCATAGTGGCCTATGATGTAGATGATATTTACCGACATCCTCCCAATAGACTAATTACTTATCATAATTATATTTAAATTATCGGGCACTCGTCTTATCAACCGATAATTAATATGCGTTACCTGTCTCAAGTAATAATATGCCGTGACGCGGAAGCAATATCAGGCGTCTGGTTGTAAAAGTTGTTCGGATTGTAATTTATTTGGAGAAAATCGGTCAACAAATGAAAAGGTTATGCTGTTTTTGAAATAATAAAATAGAGAAATCATGGAAAATGGACTTAACAGGCATGTAAAATTAAATTGTCCTATCACTTGCATCGGTTGCACTCGGAAAATAAGACCTGTATGATTGACAAAAGGAGACATATCGTTTACTGATGGTATACGTGGTTAAGAGGTCGAACCTGGTCGAATTTTTCTGTGGCGAGTTAAAGAAATTTCTTTTTTATCGAGATTCAAAATAGTGTAATCATATTTTATGCCAGAAAGAAGAAATTTTTATTATTTAGAAAAGAAAAAAGATTTTTACAAGTGTTGAAACTTTCTGTCGTAACACGAAGTTTTAGAAAATAAAGAGAAAAAAAGGAATACATTATAAACTTATTAAACGCCGTTTGGTGAGGAAACGTATGTAGTGGACACACTGAATACATTAAATAATTGGGAAATAGCACAATCATGTCTCTGAATTTGTTTCTTCTATATACCTTTCCGCTTACCATTTTTGTGCTTGTTTTGCTATTAAATAGATGGTGGTATAATCTGATTGTCGATTTCATTTTTGAAGTAAACAATATATAGATTAAGCTTTATAATGGCTATGATAAAATGAAAATATAGGAGTTTTGTCCTGTGTCATTCATGGTTTTTTCCTCTTCCTTCTTACAATTGTGTTAGAGTTGTGATTCGTACTATAAATACAGCTATATATCCCTTCCGGCGCGGGAGGTTTGCGCTTTTACATAGGACGTTTGTGCTTTTTTAAATAGACATTTGCGCTTTTTATATAGGACATTTGGGCTTTTACAATATTTACTTCTCATGACTTCCCTCCTATTTTATCCGAGCTTTGGACCTGGCAGAGTTAAAAAAAAATCGTTTTTTATTATGGTTAAAAGTCATTACAAAGCACATTCGTGTGTTTAAAAGTCTCCCGATTCACAATTTATTAGATATCGATCGACGGCAATTGCCAATGAAGGCTAATTAACACCAAGCGTGACATGTATATAATAAGAGGGTGATAAAATTTCGGCAAATATCATCTGCTTTTGATGTGGGTCCAGTACTTTATCTATGGCTATTATATCTATGGTAGTTATAAAGCTATCAAATGATTTTATTGATTAACCACAAAGTACTGCCCACATGTTCTTATCTTGTATCAGTCAGACACATGCATTTGTTTATAAAACTAATTATCATCAAAACTCATTAACAGTGCAAGATATGGAAACTTATTTTTCTTCTGTGGTTTGGAATATTAAGAAGAAACAAAAACAGCTGAAAATGAAATTTTGATAAGATTTAGTTGCTTTTGTATATTTCTACCTTAAGTGTAATTGTAAGAATAATCAATCAACCAATCAATCAAAATTTTTAAAATTTCCATTGATGGAACACAAATTTACTATACAAAATCTGACAATAAGAGAGATACATTTTATTAAAATACAGATATTCAAAAATGTTAACATCTCTGAACTGGAAATATTGAACATGACAGATTGTATAGATTTATGCGATAATCTGTCCTCTGATTTATAGAGGAATAAATGATAAAATGATGCATTAGTAATGTCATAATGCTCATGAATGAATCAATGATTGCATATTTTATCAAAACTAAATGTAGAATTTGTGATTACTGAATTGGGTATTGTGTGCTTAAGTTTATTGTTTGAATTTTTTTCATGCATAGCTAACTGAGAGGATATAATCGATTTTAGATTAAATGGAAGGCCAAGAAGGGTGATGAAAGTAATGGAGGTTACTCATATGATGTTCTTCACAATCTTTTACACAAGGTTTGTATAATATCATATTCTGTGTTTTGATTGAGAATTAAACAAAACTTCACTTGCTGGTGTAGGCGTTTATAGTGATCTTTGAGATCTTCAGTTCATTAATCCATTCTGTAATCTGTCTGTCTATCTCCAGTTTGTATCCATTTGTATATATTTATGTATATAACAAAAACTTTGTTTTGCATTGTAAAATCCTCAAAAATCATTTGGATTGGGTTACTTTATATTAAGGAATATATCTCCCTCAAGCTCTGATTCCTTGCCCGGCTTTTCGCTATACTTTTTTGTACTTTTTGGTTTATAGCTCTTCATCCTTTTAACATGTTAAATAAGCTTTAGATTTTCAAATATTTTGGTCTCTAGCATCACTGAAGAGATATTGATTGTCGAAATGCTCATCTGGTGCAGCAAAATTGGTACCGTTTATGTTATTAAATGTAAAAGAGGTTCTTTAAAAAGTTCCATAAAATACAGCAAGTGGTTAAGAAAGGGTTGTGGATAACAGATGTGTACCCCTTTTGCACAGGCACTTGTGTCTGTGTAATTTTATATTACCTATATACCTTTATATTACACAATGTACTTAACTTGCACTTTCATTAAATGACAATTGAAAGGAATTTTCATTATTTTGCTATTCCACAGTCATCTTTCCCTATAATACTTAATATGCTGTAAATCTTCAGGTTGCACTTTGTAAATACAGCTGTTTCACAAACCATCCCTCTTGTGGGGAAATATTTAACATTCATAGATATTTTGTTTTGTTTACCTACTGGTTCCCAGATATGATCTCCATGTTTCATCTCCTAGAGACACAACTTTGGAATTTTACCAGTATAAATACACATGGATAGCAGTCAAATTGAATTCTAAGGAAGACTCAAAGTAAACGAAGGGGTAGTACAGAATTTTAGTTTTTAAACTCTTATAAGTTCAAGGCATATAAATGTTGAAAATATGTCATACCAACCTATATTTGGAGTTCCTATGGAAAATTGCATTGTCTATATTTACAAAAGTGCAACCAGTAAATTATATACAAAATGACGATTGAAAGGAATTTTCATTATTTTGCTATTCCAGAGTCATCGTTCCCCATAAAACTTAATATGCTGTAAATCTACAGTAATTTATATACAAAATGATGTATACCACACCTACCTTTGCTGCCTTGTGTTATATAAAGGTACATAGGTACAAATCCACAAACAATTTAGATATCTTCATTACAAATAAGTTAATTTTCTCTGTAGCATAGATATTTTGATAACAAAAAAGTATTTTTTCAGTATGGTGATGTTCTGACCTTAATTATCTCCAGTAAGAGAAATGGTAGTGGCATTGTAGAGTTCAAGGACAGAAATGCTGCTGTAAGTCTGTATTTAATTCCTCTTATTTCATGTACCAATTTAAAATATATATGACAACTGTCTATTTTAGCAGGTCAGTATTTGTTTAGTCCTCTTTCTGTCCGACTGGCAGTAAAACCCTTGCCAAAGTGGGGCGTCCGTTTGGCTGTGTGGGATGTACAAGTACCAGCCATGTCTGGTAAGAAAATGAGGACATTAAATCCAATGCCACACTCTCTGTATGTTAAAAACCTTTGCATGAAATATTTGCCACTTGACTTGAAGCAACATCCATTCAATCATTCAATCATAGACCTTGGTTGAGTTTTTTTTCCACTTTTTATATTTTTGATGAGCCAATACAATTTATTTTTAAGGTCAGTTCATGTTCTTGATTTGAAGATCCCCTTTACCAGAAACTTCCCAAAACTCAATCAATGACTTATAAGATAAAACTTAAATGAGCAGTGAATAAGTTAATCTAATATCATTTTATAAAGTCATTGCAAAGACAAGATAATGAATAACCTTTTTTTCAGAGCATGGCATCTCAGTTTGAAAAGGGGCTAGCAGAAAACCCCTTGACATTTATCTGGCTTGATGGACAAGTAGAAACTACTACTGCTAGTCAGGTATGAACAGATTAATGTTTACTTACATTGTGTATATTTTATTTATTTTTTTTGGGAGGGGGAGAGAAAATATTACAACAATTACCTTTAGGAAATTCTATTAAAAAATATATAAGAGTAATAGACTGTTGGTAATATATTATAATTGTTAAGTATTAAAATAAATGCTTTCTTGTCCTGTGTTAAAGTTTTCACTGAAGATAATATGTTGTGTTAATGTAAACGTTATGAATAATATCTAAACTTGCAATAAGTGCTATATATTTTAAATCAACATCTAATCAAATGAAAATTGTTATGCTTCATAATTAAGATGTATATTGTCTTCTTCAGAGTTAATTTTAATGCTCAGAATGATTTACATGAAGATGCAGTTGTGTCAGTTGCAATCTTAATATTTTATTTTGTTTATCTCTCTTAGTATAAGCATACTAACATACTTTTAGCTCATGTGAGCTTATGCCATCACTTTGCGTCCGTCGTCGTCTGTCGTCGTCGTAAACTATTTAAAAAATCTTCTTCTCTGAAACTACTGGGCCAAATACCTTTAAACTTTAAATGAATGTTCCTTAGGGTATTTAGTTTATAAATTGTATCCTAAATTTTGATCCATCAACAAACATGGCCGCCATGACTAAAAATAGAACATAGGGGTCAAATGCAGTTTTTATACAACCGCAAAAAAATTTTGTGGTCGTATATTGGTATGACGTTGGCGTCGTCGTCCGAAGACACATTGGTTTTCGCACTCTAACTTTAGTTTAAGTGAATGGATCTTTTTGAAATTTTACCATAAGGTTAAATACCACAAAAGGAAGGTTGGGATTGATTTTGGGGTTATGGTACCAACAGTTAAGGAATTAGGGGCCAAAAAGGGGCCAAAAATAAGCATTTTCTAGTTTCCAGACAATAACTGTGGAACGTTGTATGGATCTCTCTGAAATTATACTACAAGTTTCCATACCACAAAGGGATGGTTAGGATTTGCTTTGGGGGGTTATGGCTCAATCCGTTTAGGAATTAGGGGCAAAAAAGGGGGAAAAACAAGGTTGTCCTGGTTAATGGACAAATACTTAAGTACAAAACATAATTTAAAGCAGTGTAAGGGAGATAAATCAAATACATCATTGAAATTATCTCCCTTACACTGCTTTTAAATTATGTATAAAGTAATGGTTAATAAACAATAAAGATAATTTAAAACAGTGTAAGGGAGGTAATCCAAATACAACGTTTTGGTTACTTCCCTTACACTGCTTTTAAATTATGTTTAAAGAAATGCATATTTATAAAGGAAGACCAGTAAAAATATCTGCAAATGTTGCATCATTTTTTTTTACAAAAAAATCCATATGAAAGATTTGACACTATATTTTTAATTCTATTATAAAATAGATTAAGTTAGCACTATGGTAAATTTAAATGGGTAATTATGGATGCCAACTCCATTGGAAATTTGAATTGAGATTATCACCATATCTTGAGGGAAAGAATTTTTTTGGGGAAAAAAAGGGGGGGGGGGATAAAAAGAAATTGTGGGGGGTCAATTTTTTCTCATTTCAGATTTCAGAAATTAAAAAGAATTATTCCTCAAATATTATTTTTTTTTCAAATTTCAAATATTGAAAAATTTCAAGAAGTAATCTTTAATTGCACAGTATGGCGCATTAGATTTGTTAAATCTTTGATCACATTTATTTATTTGTTATGCCGAATCTAACAGTGTATTTAGATTTTTAATTTTGGGTCCAGTTTTCAAAATAGTCTACGCATTTTTGCGCCTGTCCCAAGTCAGGAGCCTCTAGCCTTTGTCAGTCTTGTATTATTTTTAATTTTAGTTTCTTGTGTACAATTTGGAGTTTAGTATGGCGTTCATTATCACTGAACTAGTATATATATTTGTTTAGGGGCCAGCTGAAGGACGCCTCCGGGTGCGGGAATTTCTCGCTGCATTGAAGACCTGTTGGTGACCTTCTGCTGTTGTCTGTTCTATGGTCGGGTTGTTGTCTCTTTGACACATTCCCCATTTCCATTCTCAATTTTACATTAAGGTCCAAAGGGTCCAAAATTAAACTTTGTTTGATTTTAGCAAAAATTGAATATTTGAGGTTCTTTGATATGCTGAATTTAAACATGTATTTAGATTTTTGATTTTTGGCCCAGTTTTCAAGTTGGTCCAAATTGGGGTCCAAAATTAAACTTTGTTTGATTTCAACAAAAATTGAATATATGGGGTTCTTTGATATGCTGAATCTAACCATGTATTTAGATTTTTTATTTGTGGACCCCGTTATCAAATTGGTTCATATTGAGGTCAAAAGGGTCCAAAATTAAACTTTGTTTGATTTCATCTAAAATTGAATTATTGGGGCTCTTTGATATTCCAAATCTAACCGTGTATTTAGATTTTTAATTTTGGGTCCTGTTTTTTAAATTGGTCTACATTAAGGTCCAAAGGGTCCAAAATTAAAATTAGTTTGATTTTAACAAAAATTGAATTCTTGGGGTTCTTTGATATGCTGAATCTAAACATGTGTTTAGATTTTTGATTATGGGCCCAGTTTTCAAGTTGGTCCAAGATAGGGTCCAGTATTTAAACTTTGTTTGATTTCAACAAAAATTGAATATATGGGGTTCTTTGATATGCTGAATCTAAACATGTATTTAGATTTTTGATTATGGGCCCATTTTTCAAATTGGTCCAAATTGGGGTCCAAAATTAAACTTTGTTTGATTTCAACAAAAATTGAATATATGAGGTTCTTTGATATGCTGAATCTAACCATGTATTTAGATTTTTTATTTGTAGGCCCCGCTATCAAATTGATTCATATTGAGGTCAAAAGGGTCCAAAATTAAACTTTGTTTGATTTCATCAAAAATTGAATTATTGGGGTTCTTTGATATTCCAAATCTAACCGTGTTTTTAGATGTTTAATTTGGGTCCCGTTTTTTAAATTGGTCTTCATTGAGGTCCAAAGGGTCCAAAATTAAACTTAGTTTGATTTTAACAAAAATTGAATTCTTGGGGTTCTTTGATATGCTGAATCTAAACATGTGTTTAGATTTTTGATTATGGGCCCAGTTTTCAAGTTGGTCCAAGTTGGGGTCCAAAATTAAACTTTTTTTGATTTCAACAAAAATTGAATATATGGGGTTCTTTGATATGCTGAATCTAACCATGAATTTAGATTTTTTATTTGTGGGCCCCGCCATCAAATTGGTTCATATTGAGGTCAAAAGGGTCCAAAATTAAACTTTGTTTGATTTCATCAAAAATTGAATTATTGGGGTTCTTTGATATTCCAAATCTAACCGTGTATTTAGATTTTTAATTTTAAGTCCCGTTTTTTTCAATTGGTCTACATTAAGGTCCAAAGGGTCCAAAATTAAATTTAGTTTGATTTTAACAAAAATTGAATTCTTGGGGTTCTTTGATATGCTGAATCTAAACATGTGTTTAGATTTTTGATTATGGGCCCAGTTTTCAAGTGTGTCTAAGTTGGGGTCCAAAATTAAACTTTGTTTGATTTTAACAAAAATTGAATATATGGGGTTCTTTGATATGCTGAATCTAACCATGTATTTTGATTTTAGACATTGGACCATAATAGGTAAATTAAAAAAATTCAAGTTCTTAGACCACATTCTTTCTGTGTCAGAAACCTATGCTGTTTCAAATATTTAATAACAATCCAAATTCAGAGCTGTATCAAGCTTGAATGTTGTGTCCATACTTGCCCCAACTGTTCAGGGTTCGACCTCTGCGGTCGTATCAAGCTGCGCCCCAGCGAAGCATTTTATTGGCTTATATCTCAAAAAGTAAAGCATTTAGAGCAAATCTGACATGGGGTAAATTGTTCAATTGGTTAAGATCTATCAGCCCTGAAATTTTCAGACGAATCGAGCAACCCATTGTTGGGTTGCTGCAACTAAATTGGTAGTTTTAAGGAAATTTTGCAGTTTTTTGTTATTATCTTGAATATTATTATAGATAGATATAAACTGTAAACAGCAATAATGTTCAGCAAAGTAAGATCTACAAAAAAGTTAATGAGACCATAATTGTCAATTGACTCCTTAAGGAGTTATTGCCCTTTAAAGACAATTTTACACAATTTGTTCATCAAGTTTGCTAACATTTAAAAATCTTCTCCTCTGAATCTACTGGGCCAATTACCTTCAAACTTTAACTTAATGTTCCTTAGGGTATCTTGTTTATAAATTGTATCCGAAGTTTTGATCCATCGACAAACATGGCAGCCATGGCTAAAAATAGAACATAAGGGTCAAATGCAGTTTTTGGCTTATATCTCAATAAAATGCTCCGCTGGGCGCAGCTTGATACGACCGCAGAGGTCGAACCCTGAACAGTTGGGGCAAGTATGGACACAACATTCAAGCTTGATACAGCACTGAATTTGGATTGTGATTAAATATTTGACACAGCATAGGTTTCTGACACAGAATGAATGTGGTCTAAGAACTTAAAATTTTTTAATTTACCTATTCAAACCATATTATTATTATTTGCTTTTATATATAAATCAGAAATAACCAATTTAAAATGGAAAATTTTAAAGAAAAAAAAAATCCCTCCCCTAAATTTTTTGAACCCCCTTATGATTCATCACCCTCAAACTCAATCCCAGCCTTCCCTTTGTGGTATGGTACCTTGCAGTACAATTTCAGAGAGATCCATACACTTGAACAAGTTATTGTCTGGAAACTAGAAAAATGCTTGTTTTTAGGCCCCTTTTTGGCCCCTAATTCCTAAAATTTTGAGGCAATTACCCCAAAATTAATCCCAGCCTTCCCTTTGTTGTATGCGGTACCTTGCAGTACAATTTCAGAGAGATCCATACACTTGAACACAAGTTATTGTCTGGAAACTAGAAAAATGCTATTTTTGGCCCCTTTTTGGCCCCTTATTCCTAAACGTTTTGGCAATTACCCCCAAACTCAATTCCAGCTTTCCCTTTGTGATATGGAACCTTGTAGTTCAATTTCAGAAAGATCTATACACTTACACACAAGTTATTATCATGAAACTAGAAAAATGCTTGTTTTTTGCCTCTTTTTTGGCCCCTAATTCCTAAAATTTTGAGGCAATTACCCCCAAAATCAATCCCAGCATTCCCTTTGCGATACGGAACCTTGTGGTACAATGTCAGAGAGATTTATACACTAACACACAAGTTATGTCTGGAAGTTACAAAAATGCTTATTTTTGGCCCCTTTTTGGCCCCTAATTCCTTAACTGTTGGTACCATAACCCCCAAAATCAATCCCCACCTTCCTTTTGTGGTATTGAACCTTATGGTAAAATTTCATGGAGATCCATTCACTTAAACTAAAGTTAGAGTGCGAAAACCAATGTGTCTTCGGACGACAACGACACCAACGTCATACCAATATACGACCAAAAATTTTTTTTATTTTTGCGGTCGTATAAAAACTAGCTTTTAGAGCAAATCTGACATGGGGTAAAATTGTTCAATTGGTCAAGATCTATCGGCTCTGAAATTATCAGACGAATCGAACAACCCATTGTTGGGTTGCTGCCACCGAAATTGGTAGTTTTTAACAAAATTTTGCAGTTTTTTGTTATTATCTTGAATATTATTATAGATATATATAAACTGTAAGCAGCAATAATGTTCAGCAAAGTAAGATCTACAAAAAAGTTAATATGACCAAAATTGTCAATTGACCCCTTAGAGTGTTACGTTATTGCCCTTTAAAGACAATTTTACACAATTTGTTCATCAAGTTTGCTAACATTTAAAAATCTTCTCTGAAATACAGGTGAGCGATTCAGGCTCTTGAGAGCCTCTTGTTTCTTTAGTGGAAAATCAGTTTATGTATTTGTTACAGAATAAATAATGTTGGTTTTTATATTTACATTTTTATATTTACACAAAAGGCACATAAACAAATTAAAGGACTTTTTATTAATAGTATTTCTTAATTTTTTTTCACAGCCCACTACTGTTCTTTCAAGTGATGACACTGACTTTGAAAGCATAGTACTTCATAAAATGAGACAAGCTGAGGAGAGAAAAAGATTGATAGAACAAATGAAAAAAGAAGACGAAAATAGCTGAATAAGATTCAATATGAGATTCTTGGACTGATAAGGCTGCAGTGCTACTGGATGATAAACAGTTTATGGAACATGATGATGAAGATTAAAACCAAGTCTTGAGAAGTCAGAAAGTCAGCTGAAAATTTTACATATGACAATTAAAAATTGGAAAAATTATATAAGTAAATGATTTCCTTAAAGAATTATGAGTGATGACCCAAACTGCCATCAAACATGATTGACAGCAGTACTAAGAAAAGAAAATTGGATAAAATATCTAATGAAAAAGTTTGCTACAGAAGTGTGGATTATTGATACCACCGTGATGTTTCCAGTGATTTTATATTTCCTTTTGTCATTGTTACATTGTACAAAGTCATTTCTGAATTGAATTTGAATAAATCTTTCTCATGACGCCTACTTGTGTGGTTTATTTTTTATTGAATTGGTTTCTTTTTTTATTCTCATAAACAATGGAAATTATGAGATAATGTTTAATTCAACATTAGAAAACATCGAATTGTATACACGATTTTTGTGCCATAAATAGTGTGAAACATATTTCTGTATTAAACTAGTTAATTTTAGTTCTACTATCACTTGGGTGCATGGCCCATAAAGAACTACTCAGTTTGATATTTAAATACTTCAGTAACAGAGGTTGCTAATAACAAAAGTATTTCTAAACTGATACTTTCTGTTAAAAATCAAAGATTCAATAATTAATAGTTTATTTGATGTTTTCTTTTCCATTATCTGTTTGAGGTAGTTTCCTTCTGAGTATTTTTCCACTTGGTAATTTAGGAATTTCCTCCACAATTTCCAAGCCACCACGAAGTTTCTTAAATGGAGACACTCGTTCTACAAAAAAACAAAACATTTAATAAAAATGCTTGATATCAACAAAACAATTTGACCAAGAACTAGATGATAAGTCATTAAATTAGTTTCTAAGTACAATATGTGCATACCTGAAAACAATTTAATTGCACATTTGGAACATTCCTTTCATCAACTGTTTTCTCATCATTGTTGTGATGACATTTAAATTGTTTTGCCAAAATTTCTATTTCGCATAAGAAATAGGAAAAGCATTGTATTTTTGTTAAAGGTAAAAAAAAATGTGCATTTCAATTATTGATAATTATATATCTGTAGGCAAGCTCAAAACAATAGTTCCTTAGATTTTTGATATATAACATTACCATTTATATATTTCTGTATTTCTGTTGCTTCAGCATGTGATTTAAGTACAACATAAGCCTTTGGAACTTCACCAAAAACATCAGCTGGTACCCCAACAACTGCTGCCTCTAATACAGCATCATGGGATAACAGTATAGATTCCAGATAGGTTGGAGATATCTGAAATATTGATAAAAATTAATATTCTTCACAGCTCTATAGTATAATTTGTCCTCTGTCCAGAATCTATAATAGTACATCCAGAAATTGGTTTCCGTTCTCTAACTTTAATTTGCTTCAACCAAATGTTATGAAACTTATACACAATGCTTATTACCACAAAACACAGATCAAGGGTGAATTTGGGTGGCGTTACTTTTGCCTTTCTAGAGTTATGCCCCTTTACAAATGGAAAAATTGCTGAATTTTTTCATTTCTGATCTCTAACTTAAGTTTTCCTCAACCAAATGTTATGAAACTTATACACAATGCTTATTGCCACAAAACTCAGATCAAGTACGAATTTGGGTAGCTGCTCTTTTACCGTTCTTAAGTTATGTCCCTTTATAACGTTATATGCAAGCGGGGTTGGACACATTCCCCATTTATTGTTTATTTCCTTTGGTTATGAAATAGCAATTTCTGCATCACAATATTTTGTACTTGGTTAATCTATAAATAATTATTTCATTAGAATCATTTATATTTGAAATTTGATGTAATTACAATTTGTTATAAATGTATGGATTCAAAAACAATCAGTCCAAAATATTACATGCATATTCAAGACAAACACATGATAATGTCATATAAATAAATTGCACTAGATATACATGCTGGGTTTGATTTAACGTGTAAGCTTGCACCATAACAGTAAGCAAAGAAGGCATGTCACCATACTCAGATTCACCAGACATGGCTTCAACTCTAAATATATTGGTCCTTAGCAGTGAAGTAACTTTCTCTGATATCCCAAACATCAGGTTAGTGTGCTACAAGGAGGTAACTGAAGCAGTTTTGAAAATTTAAATGTGAATTTTTTCCTATATGAGAAATTGTATATTTATAGCATTAGTATATGTACTGTAAATTCAGAAATTATTGCTACATTAATTATTGCGATTTTGTCATTTTAGACTAAAATGCGATTCTAATTTTTGCGATATTGAGAAAAATCCTGTTTAATTCATATAAAATATTTCAAAATACGAGTTTAAATTATTGCGATTTTTTAAAAACATCGCAACATTTTCTGAATTTACAGTAATTAATGCAGTTTACCTGATACCCTTTGTATTTGATAATGTCCTTTAATCTGTCAACAACAAAGTAATGGCCATCGTCATCATAGTAAGCTATATCACCTGAAAGAAGGATTTCTAATTATGTGAGATATGTCAATGAGACAGCAAACCAACAACATTTAAAAACTATAACTATAAAAGATATCAAGAGGTAAACCATACACCATACCATAAAAAAAATTTGTACATAGCTTAATATAAGTTAAGTCAAGTTGAAAATAGATTTTAGAAACACGCCGAAGATCTGTCATCAACACCAAGTTCTCTTTTTTCAATTATTTATGGAAAGGAAAACCAGATAAAATAAAGAGATCAGTGGTAATGTGGGAACACAGTGATGATGGTCTTAAGATGTCTAATACTTACTATTTTTGCTATAGTGTAAAAATGTCAAGACAAAAATTTGAGGAAGACAAAATTTTACAAGTCAATATGGATTACTTTATTTAGCTAAGAAAGTCAATCCCTTTTGGCATGAAATGCTGGTACATTTTTCCAAGTTGCAAAAGAAATTGAAAGTTGAAAACAATCCTGATATTCTGGCCCAGTCCATATGGCTGAATCCAAACATCAAAATAGATGACAAGGTGGTTTTGAAGTTCAAATGTATTGAAAATTGTGTATTCTTTATTAATGATCAGGTGTCAGATAATAACACATTATTCTCATATGGAGAATTTAAAAAAAAAGTATAATATCAATACTAATTTTGTAGAGTTTTATGGCATTATAAGTGCAATTCAAAAGGTATGGAAAAGTATGATTGAAGGTAGTTCTAAATTGGACAATATTGAAAATAGATTGGTAGATAAAGTTAAAAAGGAACAAAAATCCTGTAAATTTTTCTATGAATTATTTTTGGAAGAAAAGTAAGTACAGTATTAGCTTTATCTTCCTGTAATAAATGGGAAATAGATTTGAATATGCAGATTGATGATTGGAATACTATTTACTCCATGCCTTTTATTATAACCAGAAATTCATTTTCACAAAATTTACATTTTAAGATTGTTCATAGGATTCTACCATATAATTCTTTTTTATTGAAATGTAAATTAAAAGAAACAGAACTATGTGCATTTTGTTTCAGAAATCAGAGAAAAAATTATTCACATTTTTATACGACCGCAAAAATTAAAAATTTTTTGGTTGTATATTGGTATCACGTCATCGTTGTCGTCAGCGTCGTCCGAAGACAGATGGTTTCCGGATAATAACTTTAGTATAAGTAAATAGAAATCAATAAAATTTTAACACAAGGTTTATAACCACTAAAGGAAAGGAAGGTTGGGATTGATTTTGGGGGTTATGGTCCCAACTGTTTAGGAATTAGGGGCCAAAAAAGGGGCCCAAATAAGCATTTTTGTAGTTTCCAGACAATAACTTGTGTTAAAGTGTATGAATCTCTCTGAAATTATACCACAAGTTTCCATACTACAAAGGCTCAAACCATTTAGGAATTAGGGGCAAAAAAAGGGGAAAAACAAGGGTTTTTCTGGTTAAAGGACAATTGAGACAATTTAAAAGCAGTGTAAGGGAGGTAATCCAAATCAAAATCAATTTAAATAACAATGATTGATTACCTCCCTTACACTGCTTGTAAATTATGTATTAAGAAATGATGATTGTCTGAGATACTGACCATAACTTGAGGGAAAGAATTATTTTTTTGAATAAGGGAAAGGGGGGAGGTGAAAAAAATTGGAGGGGGACAATTTTTCTCATTTCAGATTTCAGAAATTAAAAGAAAATTTCTTCAAATATTTTTTTTTGGGGGGTTGATATTCAACAGCATAGTGTATTGCACAAACACAAAAAAACAGAGTAAAATTTTTTTTTTTTATTTTGGGGGGGGGGGGGGGGGGGGGGGGGGTCAATTCGCATAGTGTATTGCACAAAAGCAAAAAATTGAATATAAATTCAAATCATATAACCAATTTGAAGTTCTTTGACTACAGTTATTCTGTGTCAGAAACCTATTATGTGTCATCAATTTAATTACAATCCAAATTCAAACCTGTATCAAGCATGAATATTGTGTCCATTTTGGCCCCAACTTTTCAGGGTTGGACATCTGTGGTCGTATACAGCTGCACTCAGCGAAGCAATTTATTTGGGAATGTAATGTTATACAAAATATCTGGATAGCCATAATAGACTGCCTCTGGGTGCGGGATTTTCCCACTGTGTTGAAGACCTATTGGTGGCCTTGGGCTGTTTTCTGCTCTTTGGTCGGGTTGTTGTCTCTTTGACACATTCCCCGTTTCCATTCTCAATTTTATGGATTAGAAATTATGACATTTTCTTGCCTTTGAGCTAAATTTAGTGCAAAAGAAGTACTTTTAGGTGTGTCTGAGGATTTTGTCAACAGTAAAACAGTAAATAATATTATGTTGCTATTTAAATACTAAATATACAAATGAAGATGTAACAACATACGCCACAAAATTTGGTGGGATAGAATATTTAAAATATTGGATTAATATAGAAAAATACTCTGTATGTTTCTTAACCCCTGAACAAAAAGTAAAAGTGGATTAGAAGTGGCAATTTTTAGAAGCAGCCTTTAATTAACTAAACCAATATCTTATTATATCATTATGACTTGATTTTGTTACTTAATTTTTATACGACCGCAAAAGATTTTGCGGCCGTATATTGGTATCACGTCGTCGTCCGAAGACATTTGGTTTCTGGACAATAACTTTAGTATAAGTAAATAGAAATCTATGAAATTTAAACACAAGGTTTATAACCACAAAAGGGAGGTTGGGATTGATTTTGGGGGTTATGGTCTTAACAGTTTAGGAATTTGGGGCCAAAAAAGGGCCCAAATAAGCATTTTTCTAGTTTCCAGACAATAACTTGTGGATCGGTGTATGAATCTCTCTGAAATTATACCACAAGTTTCCATACCACAAAGGGATGGTTAGGATTGACTTTGGGGGGTTATGGCTCAAACCGTTTAGGAATTAGGGGCAAAAAAGGGGGAAAAACAAGGGTTTCCTGGTTAATGGACAATTTAAAAGCAGTGTAAGGGAGGTAATCCAAACACATTTAAAGTACAATGTTGTGTGTGTTTGGATTTACCTCCTTTACACTTCTTTTAAATTATGTATAAAGAAATGTTGTATTGTCTTGAGGTGATTAGCTGTCAATTTATTTTTAGAAGTTACTAATAAAGGAATATTAATTTTAGCCATGATTATGTATGTCATTTTCTATTTTAAGACTTTTATGATGTATTTAAATTGGTAGTTATGGTTGCAAACTCCATTGGAAATTTGAATTGAGATTATGACCATATCTTGAGGGAAAGAATTGTTTTTTTGGAAAAAGGGGGGGGGGGGGGGGGAGGTGAAAAAAAAATTTCAGATTTCAGAAATTAAAAAGAAAATTTCTTCAAATATTTTTTTTTTTGCAAAAAAAAGGGGGGGGGGGAGGCAAATTTTTTTTTTTTTGGGGGGGGGGGGGGGTCAATATGCAACAGCATAGTGTATTGCACTAAAGCAAAAAATTGAATATAAATTCTAATCATATAACCAATTCTAAGTTCTTTGACTACAGTTATTCTGTGTCAGAAACCTATTATGTGTCACATTTTTAATTACAATCCAAATTCAGACCTGTATCAAGTGCGAATATTGTGTCCATTTTTGCCCCAACTGTTCATGGTTGGACCTCTGCGGTCGTATCCAGCTGCGCTCAGCGAAGCATTTTATTATAATTTGTGTCTAAAACTGTAGTATGTAATTTTACATGTTTCATCATCATGATCTTGAAAAAAAAAAAGTACAAAAAAAAAACCACCAAGTTCTCTTTAGAACAAAACACTAACTTAAGGATATAAAAAATGACAAGTACTGACCAAATAAATATATTGCAGGGTTAAACTAGGTTTCTCAGTACTTGGGCCTCTCCATTTTAATCTTTAGGTTAAATAGAATTAGGTACGATTAAAATCAGCAAGAAAAAGCACTAAATTCTAATATCTGTTATAGATATATAAGTAGTATAATAATAAATGATAGTCCTGCTAAAGTTCATTGGTTCTCTCTAGTGTGGCTTCCTTTGCCAATAAAAACTGGCCACTAGGATATTGTAAGGGGTGCTGAAAGAGTTTTTAAACACCAACCGACACTCAAACTAATTACTACCACATTAAAGAATGCTCAAAATTTCAGAAAGCAAATATAAAGTATTTTCTGCTAATAAATCTGAAGTAGATTTCATAAAACAACGTCATACAGAGTGCAGGAAGACAATTTTGTGCAATGATTTATTATATTTACATATAATTCTATTGAATGCAGAAAAAGGAATAAAAATAATTGTGTGGTGTTTCAATCTGAGAATAAGAAAACCAATAATAATCTAAAAAAAAAAGCAAGACTTAATGATTCAGTAAAATGATGATTGATTGATTGATTGTTGGTGTTTAATGCCACTTTCAGCACTCTTTGCTTTTCATGGTGGCCAGTTTTTATTGGTAGAGGAAGCTGCAGATAGAACCGTCTACCTGAGACAGGAAAACTGGTCAGCTGTCGGAGTCAAACACATGGAACAAGTGAAAAACAGCTGTCAGAGTCAAACACATGGAACAAGTGAAAAACAACTGTCATATACCTGACTTGGTACAGGCATTTCCAAAGAAAATGGTGGGTTAAACCTGGTGTTATAGCTAGCTAAACCTCCCACTTGTATAATTATGTTGCTTTAGTGATATATTGTATGTTATTTGTACCATCCATGTGAACAATTCACAGCCAGTCAAGGTGTTAAACATCCCTACAGTAAAACCTTATTTTTGTTTCAGAACTATATCAAAAATATTCATAGCATGTTTATGTAAAATTTTCTAAAATCAAGAATTCTGAGTACTGTATATAGAGTTACCTGTTTTTATCCAGCCATCTTCTGTGATAGACTTCCTGGTCGCTTCTTCGTTGTTTAAATATCCTCTTGTAATTTGAGGCCCACATGCCCATATTTCACCAGACTCAAATGCCTTTGTAATAGTTTCTCCATTTTCAATATCAATCAGCTAAAAAATGTTTTTATAGATAATATATCAGTAGACCTATCAATTAATATTGTGATTTATTTGGGATATTTGAAAATTATGGAATGATTATCAAATTGTATATAACTAGTTCTTGATTTATCAATTGCACGTGGTCAAATATTGAATATCCCATAATCAAGTCTCAAACATGCACCAAAGGAAATATCAATTCCCTGTAATGAGCAAATATTTATAGGATCAACTTGAATTGGTCTTTTCATATCCATACATCAAACTAACATGTTTGCAGAAGACTTGTGAAAAGATCTACATAATGTGTACTTGAAGATATTTACCTTTGATATGGTATTGGGTACTGGCTTGCCGATTGAACCATATTTATAACAACCAATAGGATCTGTGAATATAGCGCCACTTGTTTCTGACATCCCATAACCTGCTCAATAAGTTGTTAATCACATTGTATGACATTTTACATTATTTAAACATAGATAACTGCTTTTCATACTTATGGTTGAATTTTACTTTTCCGGCAATGTGTCTAATAATTTCGGGATTATTCTGTTTGCCTTCGATGTCTTCCGACGTTTTTTTGCTAAATACTATTATATGACAAACACTATCGAGCCCTTTTGGGTGATGTGTCGTTTTTAACACCCAGTATACATTATATTATAGACTAAGAACATAAAACTGAGTAAAAACAAAGAAACCAAACCGAAAGAACAATGGGTTTATTCGGGTTTGCTTAAAGTCTGTTTTATATCATATTTTTATTTTACCCCATAAAGTTGTTCTCATAATGTTCAGGTATTTTTACGATTAAATTTACTCTACCTGGTGCAGGTGCAGTTCGCTGAAGTCTACACACCATATTATGCCAATTTTGTTACATGTCCAAACTAATATGTTCTCATGTATTACTTCACAGATTAAAGTATGATATAGACAAGCTTTTACATTGTCTAAAATAAAAACTAACCATACCATTAGACGTGTTCTCATGTATTACTTCACAGATTAAAGTATGATTTAGACAAGCTATGCCATTGCCTAAAATTAAAACTCACCATACCATTAGACGTGTTCTCATGTATTACTTCACAGATTAAAGTATGATTTAGCCAAGCTATTGCATTGTGTAAAATAAAAACTCACCATACCATTAGACGTGTTCTCATGTATTACTTCATAGATTAAAGTATGATTTAGCCAAGCTATTGCATTGTCTAAAATAAAAACTCACCATACCATTAGACGTGTTCTCATGTATTACTTCACAGATTAAGTATGATTTAGCCAAGCTATTGCATTGTCTAAAATAAAAACTCACCATACCATTAGACGTGTTCTCATGTATTACTTCATAGATTAAAGTATGATTTAGCCAAGCTATTACATTGCCTAAAATAAAAACTCACCATACCATTAGACGTGTTCTCATGTATTACTTCACAGATTAAGTATGATTTAGCCAAGCTATTACATTGTCTAAAATAAAAACTCACCATACCATTAGACGTGTTCTCATGTATTACTTCACAGATTAAGTATGATTTAGCCAAGCTATTACATTGTCTAAAATAAAAACTCACCATACCATTAGACGTGTTCTCATGTATTACTTCACAGATTAAGTATGATTTAGCCAAGCTATTGCATTGTCTAAAATAAAAACTCACCATACCATTAGACGTGTTCTCATGTATTACTTCACAGATTAAGTATGATTTAGCCAAGCTATTACATTGTCTAAAATAAAAACTCACCATACCATTAGACGTGTTCTCATGTATTACTTCACAGATTAAGTATGATTTAGGCAAGCTATTACATTGTCTAAAATAAAAACTCACCATACCATTAGACGTGTTCTCATGTATTACTTCACAGATTAAGTATGATTTAGCCAAGCTATTGCATTGTCTAAAATAAAAACTCACCATACCATTAGACGTGTTCTCATGTATTACTTCACAGATTAAGTATGATTTAGCCAAGCTATTACATTGTCTAAAATAAAAACTCACCATACCATTAGACGTGTTCTCATGTATAACTTCACAGATTAAGTATGATTTAGACAAGCTTTTACATTGTCTAATATAAAAACTCACCATACCATTAGACGTGTTCTCATGTATTACTTCACAGATTAAAGTATGATTTAGACAAGTTTTACATTGTCTAAAATAAAAACTAACCATACCATTAGACGTGTTCTCATGTATTACTTCACAGATTAAAGTATGATTTAGACAAGCTATGCCATTGCCTAAAATAAAAACTCACCATACCATTAGACGTGTTCTCATGTATTACTTCACAGATTAAAGTATGATTTAGCCAAGCTATTGCATTGTGTAAAATAAAAACTCACCATACCATTAGACGTGTTCTCATGTATTACTTCATAGATTAAAGTATGATTTAGCCAAGCTATTGCATTGTCTAAAATAAAAACTCACCATATCATTAGACGTGTTCTCATGTATTACTTCACAGATTAAGTATGATTTAGCCAAGCTATTGCATTGTCTAAAATAAAAACTCACCATACCATTAGACGTGTTCTCATGTATTACTTCATAGATTAAAGTATGATTTAGCCAAGCTATTACATTGCCTAAAATAAAAACTCACCATACCATTAGACGTGTTCTCATGTATTACTTCACAGATTAAGTATGATTTAGCCAAGCTATTACATTGTCTAAAATAAAAACTCACCATACCATTAGACGTGTTCTCATGTATAACTTCACAGATTAAGTATGATTTAGCCAAGCTATTGCATTGTCTAAAATAAAAACTCACCATACCATTAGACGTGTTCTCATGTATTACTTCACAGATTAAGTATGATTTAGCCAAGCTATTACATTGTCTAAAATAAAAACTCACCATACCATTAGACGTGTTCTCATGTATAACTTCACAGATTAAGTATGATTTAGACAAGCTTTTACATTGTCTAATATAAAAACTCACCATACCATTAGACGTGTTCTCATGTATTACTTCAAAGATTAAAGTATGATTTAGACAAGCTATGCCATTGTCTAAAATAAAAACTCACCATACCATAAGACGTGTTCTCATGTATTACTTCACAGATTAAGTATGATTTAGCCAAGCTATTACATTGTCTAAAATAAAAACTCACCATACCATTAGACGTGTTCTCATGTATAACTTCACAGATTAAGTATGATTTAGACAAGCTTTTACATTGTCTCATATAAAAACTCACCATACCATTAGACGTGTTCTCATGTATTACTTCAAAGATTAAAGTATGATTTAGACAAGCTATGCCATTGTCTAAAATAAAAACTCACCATACCATTAGACGTGTTCTCATGTATTACTTCACAGATTAAGTATGATTTAGCCAAGCTATTACATTGTCTAAAATAAAAACTCACCATACCATTAAAAGTGTTCTCATGTATTACTTCACAGATTAAGTATGATTTAGACAAGCTTTTACATTGTCCTAAATAAAAACTCACCATACCATTAGACGTGTTCTCATGTATAACTTCACAGATTAAGTATGATTTAGACAAGCTATTACATTGTCTAAAATAAAAACTCGCCATACCATTAGACGTGTTCTTATGTATTACTTCACAGATGAAGCATGATTTAGCCAAGCTATTGCATTGTCTAAAATAAAAACTCACCATACCATTAGACGTATTCTCATGTATTACTTCATAGATTAAGTATGATTTAGACAAGCTATTACATTGTATAATATAAAAACTCACCATACCATTAGACGTGTTCTCATGTATTACTTCACAGATTAAAGTATGATTTAGACAAGCTATTACATTGTCTAAAATAAAAACTCACCATACCATTAGACGTGTTCTCATGTATTACTTCACAGATTAAAGTATGATTTAGCCAAGCTTTTACATTGTCTAAAATAAAAACTCACCATACCATTAGACGTGTTCTTATGTATTGTCATACCTGATGAATGTGGTTACGAAGTATTAACCTGAACTTTTTAACGCATACCAAAATAATAACTAGGAGTTGAAATTGGATATTCTATTGAACTGTAACTGGAATTTTATCTTAACTAGAAGTCCAATTTTTACTGGGACAAGATTCAGACTTTAACCTTAACTCCAACATAATCCTGAACTCTTATCTCGATTGCTAACCTCGCCCGTGCTAAGCACAGAAATAACCTGATGTCTTACACTGGCAGACTTTGTATACAATTCGTTACCTTGCCTTATTCCCTGTAATTTGAGTTGGCAGACATTGTTTATCATTCTTTACCTTGCCTTATTCCCTGTAATTTGAGTAGGCAGACTTTGTTTAACATTCGTTATCTTGCCTTATTTCCTGTCATTTGAGTAGGCAGACTTTGTTTAACATTCTTTACCTTGCCTTATTCCCTGTAATTTGAGTTGGCAAACTTTGTTTAACATTCTTTACCTTGCCTTATTTCCTGTCATTTGAGTTGGCAGACTTTGTGTAACATTCTTTACCTTGCCTTATTCCCTGTCATTTGAGTAGGCAGACTTTGTTTACCATTCTTTACCTTGCCTTATTTCCTGTCATTTGAGTAGGCAGACTTAGTTTAACATTCTTTACCTTGCCTTACTCCCTGTAATTTGAGTAGGCAGACTTTGTTTAACATTCTTTACCTTGCCTTACTCCCTGTAATTTGAGTAGGCAGACTTTGTTTAACATTCTTTACCTTGCCTTATTTCCTGTCATTTGAGTAGGCAGACTTTGTTTAACATTCTTTACCTTGCCTTATTCCCTGTAATTTGAGTTGGCAAACTTTGTTTAACATTCTTTACCTTGCCTTATTTCCTGTCATTTGAGTTGGCAGACTTTGTGTAACATTCTTTACCTTGCCTTATTCCCTGTCATTTGAGTAGGCAGACTTTGTTTACCATTCTTTACCTTGCCTTATTTCCTGTCATTTGAGTAGGCAGACTTAGTTTAACATTCTTTACCTTGCCTTACTCCCTGTAATTTGAGTAGGCAGACTTTGTTTAACATTCTTTACCTTGCCTTACTCCCTGTAATTTGAGTAGGCAGACTTTGTTTAACATTCTTTACCTTGCCTTATTTCCTGTCATTTGAGTAGGCAGACTTTGTTTAACATTCTTTACCTTGCCTTATTCCCTGTCATTTGAGTTGGCAAACTTTGTTTAACATTCTTTACCTTGCCTTATTTCCTGTCATTTGAGTTGGCAGACTTTGTTTAACATTCTTTACCTTGCCTTATTCCCTGTAATTTGAGTTGGCAGACTTTGTTTAACATTCTTTACCTTGCCTTATTCCCTGTAATTTGAGTCTATGTACCATTTGTTCAGTTAAAGTTTTACTTAATGGGGCAGCCCCAGAGTATGGTGTATGTAGACTAGACACGTCGTATTTGGATACCATTGGGTCTTTGGCAAAAAAGTTCACAAGTGGTGGTGCTATTAAACTGAACGTTCCCTAAATAGAAAAACGATTATTTCTGTGATTGTTAGCATTTACTTGTCCTGTTTACAATATGTAGAAAAATGATTTTTTGCAGAGCAGATAAAAATTTATTTATATTTCATTGTGAAAGATGTTCAAAATGTAAATTTGTTTTTAAATACAAATATTAAGGGTCAGATCTTTCATTTATTTATTTCATAATAAGAAAAGCATGATATTGAATTCAAACATACCCTAAAATTTTGAATAGCTTTGAGGTAAGATTCTGCTTCAAACCGGGGTAGAACAACAGTAGCCGCTCCCTGTGACATGGGATTCAACATCCCTATCATAAGTCCAGCGATGTGAACCATAGGTAGACATGAGATTGATTTTTCTTCTCCAGACACAAATGGAATTATTGTTGGATTTCTATATTATATAAATATAAATTTAAAACAGTTATAACAGTAAAAAGACCAAAATTATTGCTAAATTCTTTATAAAACAGTTACTCTTTTATCCGTAGAGCATAATTGATGTTTATAATTATCAATTACAGATCTCACGAGTTTCTTTGAACGAGGTGGATTTTTGGACTTTGACAAATTCATAAAAATATGTTTTCTGCTCTATTTTCAATCTATCTAGCATATATACGGCTAGCTATGCTTACATAATGGTATAAACAGGGATTTAGATAAGTTTTTAAACAAGTTGACCTACATTTAAACCTAATTGCAGTTAGGGGTGGATAGGGTAACCCCTGTCCAATAATTTTAAGAGGTTGTTTCACTGGTCCTCTGTTTGTTTGTTCTTTTGATGAATTTTAAGGCTGTTCTCGTTGGAAATGCCATCCTATGTGCCCTTTAAGTTTATGTAGTATACGACACCATGCCTTGTTTGCAATCTGGTATGCATACTGGTCATTAATATTTATAGATGCCTTATAATCGATGGATGCTCCATTTTCGTCTGAAGTCATGGATTTTGAGGTTTACACAGAACTCAATAATTTACAGAAACCATGTTACACATTTTTACTTTTTCACGGGTTCACCACCTACGAGAAATGATTTTCAAGATGTGCCTATGGTTCATCAAACGTAACTGATCTACTGTATTTTTTTTTCTTTTTAACCCTACGAGTTGCATACTCCTTGGAACCTTTGAATTAAGTTACAACATATATTGAACCTAAATAAAGAAAGAATATCACCGTAATTGACAAAGTTCAGCAACTAAGTTTTTATGAGTCAGCAATACGCCTTTTGGTAACCCTGTGGTTCCACTCGAGTATGGTACCAGTGCAGTATCGGTATCGGGATTTATGTTTACATCTGGAAATTGGTTTGCCTTTGTTTCTATGAGGTCACTCAAATTTCGATGAAATTCTGAATAGCCTATAACTATGATTTCCTGCAATATAATAAAATGTTCAAGTAAAATTTAAGTAAAATTTTAAAGATTGTTCCCTATCTGATTTTTGTATTATCCTGTATTTTAAAACAAGTAATTATGTTTATCAAATAGTTATTATAAGAACATGTTTTTAATTCCTTTCAGAATAAAAGTCTGTTATGATATGAGTAAAAGGAGATGAGAAAGCAACCAAACAAAAGATACGCGGTCATCATGTTAAAAGAAAGTTAAAAAAAAAAAGGGGGAGATAATATTACTTTAATTAAATATTCTATTGGGTAATCTCTAATGGTTTTGTGCTGAAAATTATACCTTTACACTTGGAACTTTCACTTTTGCGTTATTCGCCTTAGTAACGCACTCAGGGGTTGTGACAATAAACTTAGTACTAGTATCATTTAGTTGCGTGGCCAGCTCATCTACAATAGTAAAATGGACATTTGAAATCAATAAGTAAAAGGGATCTTGAGGCAGATTTCAGATCTGCTTGCTAAGAATTGCACCCTGACGACAATACTTAATCAGAAATCATATTAAAGCATCAACAGGAATGATTTTAATCGGATTGGAAATGTGTTATTGAGATGTTCTAATCGATTTTTATAGCAAAGAAAACGATCGCTTTAGTGTTGATTCGTTTTATGTAAGAATTGCATGTCTATTCCCTGTAAATTAAGTAATCAGGGTATGAAGTCACGTTTATGTTCGGTATACTCATGAAAGTAACTTAGACAATATATATTAAGCTAATAGTATGACAGATTTTTTACAAACTCACCAACCTGCAGTAAGCTGCGAGTTAGCTATTGTTAAAATGGCACCGTTGGCCGTCACACCACAAAAGACATGTGCGAACTCGGGACGATTCGTTCCATATAAACACACTATATCGTTCTTTCGTAAACCAATATTTTTAAATCCTGTTGCTGTGGAAATGATTTCAGACTCGAGCTGATCAAAGGTTGTTTCTTGTCCAGTGATGCCATTTATCTGAAACGTTAATGAGAAGAATAAAGCGTGTTAATTTGAAAGTCTTACCATACTTTGTAATTGTAAGATGCCTCATCAAGACTTATCAATGTTTTATGCATGAGTAACACGACGGGTGTCACAGATGGAGCATATGACTTCTACAATGTTTATATGCATGAGTAACACGACGGGTGTCACATATGGAGCATATGACTTATCATTGTTTTTATGCATGAGTGACACGACGGGTGTCACATATGGAGCATATGACTTATCAGTGTTTTTATGCATGAGTAACACGACGGGTGTCACATATGGAGTATATGACTTCTACAATGTTTTCATGCATGAGTAACACGACGGGTGTCACATATGGAGCATATGACTTATCAGTGTTTTTATACATGAGTAACACGACGGGTGTCACATATGGAGCATATGACTTATCAGTGTTTTTATACATGAGTAACACGACGGGACTTATGAGTTTGTCTCCGGTTTTTTTTTTGTGGGACTGATGTTGCTCAATCTTTAATTTTGTATGTAATGTTTTGTTATTGTTGTTTTACTTTTGACCATGGTGTTGTGTGTGTTTTTATTGGACATCTAGTTCGTTTGGCCCCTAGGTATCCTCTCCCTTTTTGTAAGTAAAATAATACAAATGAGAAGGTATTACTTACAAGAGCTGTGAAATTTCTGTATTTATTTATGTCCTTTAAAATGAATTCCGCTATAGGTATGTTTGGTATGTCGACATTATACGGAGACTTATGGTACTTTTGACAACACTGACGATGTAAATTTTTCCTATAATTCGATTTCAAGAGACAACGTTTTACAATTCTTATAATCATTTTGGCAAAGATGTATCGTTACGACATCCTTATCTTATTAAGACCTACAGTATTAGGAGTCGTATGTAAGTTTGTAAGTAGGCACTAACTGATACTACATGATAAGAACTTTAAATGTCTTGAAACAGACTTGTGTGACCAGATGTCTTTCAGCGGGTATTACAAAATATTGACTGCCGACTTGAATTTAATTTGTTGATAAGGGAATAACCTTTTCTTTCTTACACGTAACACTAACAAAAAGCGTAACAGAAATACTATTTTAACTATACATCTCTTGCTTCCGACGTTGACATTAAAAACCAAACTATTAGTTCTTAAAACACAAAAAAAAATATTTTGAAAAGGGAGGTTCAGTCTCCAAGCGCCAGTGGGAGGAATGTCGTTAAGTCATCAGTGACTCCCTTTCCTCTTGCTGCAAATCTTGGTACAGAACATAGAAAGCTGATGAAATTAATTGGACTCTTTCTTTAAAAATGTATGAATCTAGTTGATAATCGTAATTATGAAAATTAGACTTTCGTTCGTCCGAAGGGCCTTTCTGGATTTACCTTCATCAGTAACGCACAAACCCAGAAATTTGAATAGCTAAATTCTTCTAAGGTCAACTTTGCCTGCGGAAAAGGAACCTTAGTTGCCTAATAATTTCTTAATTTATCAACAGGAAATTTTAGAAAAAAATGTTATAAATCATGTCCGCACTGACTACTGGTGATAGTCTATGGCAAGCCGTTCTCGTCAAAACTATGAACAGTATCAGTGTACTTTTTCTTTTAAATCTCAGTGTGTACATTTTTCGAAAAATGGCTTAAACATCGTTTTGGCGAGAACGGCTTGCCATAACAGTCAATATCGAAACCTGTTTCTAGCCTGCAATTACTGATGTCAGTGTAAAAGTGTGATAGTCACTGCCATTAACTAATGGCAAGTCCATTTTCAGTAAAATACTGAAAAATTAAAAAAATTAAAAACAAAAAAAATTCAACTGATGCTATTTCTTGATCACGAAAAAGCTACCGTCCAAGTTTCGCAACAAAGTTATTGGTGTATAAAACATGTAACCCAGACTGTATGTATAAAATGTTAACTGCAAAAAAAGGCGACGTTTTCAACATCTGCATTGAACTGAAAACTGCTACTGAACACGACAAGGTGGTCGCCAGCATTGACTTTCTAAATTCACGAAGGAGCAGGGTCGAACACTCGCAACACATGATCTTTAATTTTCACGAACACGACCTAGATTACAGGTGTTCAGGAAATAAAAACAAAACATCTTATTTTCAAATTTCACTTTTGATGAATTGCCGTGACAACAAACTAACTAAGCATATTTTGTAAATGTCTCTATTTTTGTTGGCAGTGATATCAACTTTTGAATATATTTTGGATTGAAAAAGTATAGATGCACCAACATAGGAATTTCATATTTGGTTGGATTGTGTAAATAGCTATACGAAAGCTTAAAAACGTGTTTTTATTTTGCTGCCGCTAATGTTTCCACCTCTGAAATATGGATGGAAGACAACATAAAATCAACATGTTTCTTCATTTTCGTGAAAGATGCACTGATGTATCTATATTTCAAAATGCGTCCTAATTTATTGGGTTTGTTTTTAAATTTCGGTATATCCTTTTAGCTAATATGAACATGTTTAAAGTTGTTCTAAAGAACTTCATTTTCTTGTACCAAGTATGGGCCGTCTCATTTCGCTATTTCGTTATATCAGTAAATGTTATACTACACGTGTTTCGGTTCGTCTGACCATGGGAGTATTATATATTGATTTGATACTTCCATGTTCTGACTTAGTTTTCTTACAATCGTTAAGATACTCGTTGTAACATAGTGTGATAACTTTATTCTCAAATAACTCTTTCTATGTCTTAGAGAAGCTACTCTCCATTGAAGGTCAGTTTGTCTCCGTTGACAGTTGTGATTTCTCTATTTTTGTTTAGTACACTACCATCCAATCTCATCACATAGAAATTTCTTCGTTTAATAAAATGTTCTTTCGATAAATCTGGGTGTGACTTTATTTGTTGAAGTAATCACAATTCCATTTTCAGTAATAAAGCTTACAAACAATCTAATTAAAATATAGATCTCGGATTTCGTTATACTACGTTGCTTACAAAAAAATCCGCTATTTAGACATTCAACATGATTTAAGCCGTTATTTTTGTTTTACGGCTTGATAATTCTTTTTTTTTTAAGATTAAGTATAACGCCGAATGACTTACTGTGCCCCTCGTATTGTATCGTATCGAATCAATTATGTGCATGGCAAAATTTATAAAGACACAATGAAACGCCACTTGATGAATTTTTTACCAATACCTACAGACGTTTAGAGGATAAATTATCTCAATCCTTATTTTGTTTCTAAATGAAAATGAAATTTATCCACCTCAATTCACTATATCAAAAGTTTATAAAGACCAATATCATTTTAGATATTAAAATTTCCCATGATAATCTTCATTAACGGGGCGAATTTTCTTTTCCTTTTGTTAATTCTTTGGTGATGATGTTCCTTTGAATCCATCTTATTGATTGTACAGTTCTTGGTTCTATATGTGACATCTCTGATTTCAATGAACGTAATATTGCATTACTAACAATCTTTTATAAAATTATCTGTAAACATCAATGTAGATCAACTGAAATAGTTTTGTTTTTTTACCTTTCAATTTAATATTATTTTTTTTAAGACTATGAGTTTCCTCAAGTGAAGCCTGACATCAATCCAGTTGGATGGATTCAGTTTGATATTTGCACGACCTATTGTTTT